AAGTTACTTTTAAAATACACTCCTCTCTTTCTCCTTAGAAGCTTCTTGCGTCGCTTCGACGTGAATTTAAATTTGCTGCCTTAATTGTATCACTAAACAATTCCTTGTTTGGCAGTTCCGATCTAAGCGCTTCAAATCACGTTTGGCCATTTTCAGTGTACTTTCATGTTGAAAGATCGTGAAACTGGTTTTGATGATGATAAAACATTGTTTCGCCTCTTCAGTCTGTTTGTAGAGAGTGGAAACTTACAGCCGAGAAGTCGGATCAATCTTGGGTCTATCGGTGGGTAAAGCGGAATGGGTGTCTTCACCCATGACAGATTAACTTGCTCTCTATCGATCTCTCAAAAGTCAGCCTGTCTGCCGCCTCAAAGTTTGCGTTTGAGCAACAAGTTCTATTTATATATTTGGTTAAGTAGGCAAAGCGGCTAAGGACTTTAATACTGAGGGTAATCACGAAAAGTTATGATTGCGCATGAATGATCCTGGCAACGTATGGGTGGCTACATACATACTACATAGCTACATAGGGAAATGAGATTGCCCACTCACGCGAAAACATGGTAAAAGGTATAATTACTTTGTGCAACATTTAGCCTGATAATAGCCACGTGCGGCATGGTTACAAATTGCACTGGAAAAGCTGGTTCGTTGAGAAGGTCGACGGCCATTTTGTTCGTATAATTTAAACAGTGTCGTATTAAGTATACGAAGTATACGTTATATATTATACAGTTATATTACATTGAATAATCATCAAATTACTGCATTAATCCATTTAGGCTTTTTGGACAGCGTAAGTTTGGTTGTTATCCCGAGCGCTTCTTCTTCTAGGCTATTTTGTAGAACATTTGTAACTGAAGCAAATAAGCAGACTCGAATAAGTGTTTCGAAAGAGTTTTACAAAAAACGCACTCTGGCTCGCAAACGAAATGCGGCGGTAAATCGAATCCTATCGATTCTTTGATTACGCGGGCTTTAAAACAGGGTAATGTCGCTTTTACTATACAGTTTTGTCCACATAAACAGCGCAAAGTTTGTTTAGTCGTCTCGTTTGCCAACTTGTCAAAATCTTGTCACAACAAAACACAAACTACTCCTCCTATTCACTATTCAGTGATTGTTTACATACACCACGATTAACATGACGATACACACCGTTTGGAAGCCTTAAGAGGTGAACAAGTCATGAATGTTACACTCTACAATTTCTGTATCAATTAAATGGAAAACAAAAGGAATCGCACTTACCAAAACGTACCATATTAGATACTTTTTCCGAGGGAAAAATTTCTATAGAACGAAACATGTATCAGGTTTTCCGTTCGATGTAACTTCACACTATTATGTCAATTGAAGATTCCAGAGCGAAATAGACCACCCCAGCATTGTGAACGTTGTTATATGATAATTGATGTGATATATTGTCTAATTTAGTGTAAAAATTGTCGCTTCTATAACCGCAAATGACGTAATGTGGGAAAATGCGAAGTTATATATTTCTAATGAAATTTGAGTTGTGTTATATATGCGTTTGCACACGAAATAAAATAAGTTTTTTTTTGACATTCAATTTCAAAAAAAAAAAACGAGTCGGTTGCATGTGGAGCATTCAAGTAGTACCAAAGTAGCCTTCAGAATGCATATATTTTTAATAGAAATATAACAAAGTTCAAGATATTCTGGTCTCTCTGACTTAACCTGATGGAGCAAACCGAATAAACATACATGCACAAAAGTTTTAAAGCTCCCGTAATGGGGGCGATGTTTGTCTAACTGTCGAGGGGAATTTGCGTAAAGTGATGCAGTAGCTATAATCGCTTAGAAAAGATCTAAACGTTTAAAGAGAGTGTTTTTATTGGGTAGGAATAGTTCGACATGGTCAAGTTGGGATCTGAGTACGTTGGTTCACCCAAGCAAATAAATCTGTTTACCGTACTCTCGCAATAACACAAGTGGTACGGCTGTATTAGCGACCACCTTAAAGCGTATTAAATATTTATTTGTAACCACTTGGAATGATTTAACGCCAAATTTGAAATATCGAAATTTGGTCCCGGGATCAGAAAATTAGACAAACATTGAGATTTGTAAGTTCAGAACTTCAAAACTAGGACCAAATATTGAGTGATTTTGAGATATCAATGCCAAATGTTGATTTAAAAATTCTGAAATTGTTGTTAAATTCTTCATCAACGCAAAGAGTCTTTAATATCAGACCACTGACTGCGAATCCTGAGACGGAAACCTGTTTTACATGGTCGATCAAGTATCACTGTTTTAAAAGGAAAATATCCTACGAGATAACAAAAATAAAAAATGAAAACACGGAAACTTAACTACAAACAAGAAAAAAATAACATTGGTGAAATTGTGATGCGACCTGTCGCTTGTATTTGAGCTATTCTAAGACTGATAATAACTAATAACTGATTTAAACCACCTTGTTGTATAATACTGATGTTCTGACTGATTATTTTTAAGTCGGGTTTGAGTAATACAATTGCATTGTAATTTTTATTGAAGGAAAAATAACTCTATTGTAGTATATAGTACGACATTACGCATAGCTGGGACAGTCCGTACTGCATTCGAATACCTCTCATGAATAACGCTTTCGTTGGAAAGAATTTTCATCTCATGAACTGATAAATCCTAACATCTGGGAGATGCGCTTGTTAGATGCCAAGTGTATGAATATATTTACCAAATAACAGATTAATTTTTAATGTAGAACGTTGATACCCTGATAAAAAAAATGAACTAATTGTCCGATCTCCTTGTATACTTACAGATTCGGGTAAATACACGAGGAAAAAAAGTGAACATGTCACGAAATTATAAATTATAACATTTTTGTAGGCAAATAAAAAAATTATTTAAGATTGAAAAATTAAATTGATACTATTAAAAAATATTGTATGCTTAACTTCGCTCGTACGAATGTCTTTTGGGCGAAATGTTTTTGAATGTTAAATACAAAAAATATGCTTAGTCAACACTTTTTTCGACTTCAGTATGTCAAAATTTCAAACAATGTGGAATCCGGGAAAACTTTCAGTGAACTTGAACTTGTCCCGCAAATTGTGATTATGTGATCCAGACAGTTCCAAATAACCTAAAAAATATATCTATGTTTCTAAATTATATTAATCCTCTCCATTTCCCGATATAACGTGGTATGTTGCTATAGGAAATTTGTACACAGTCGCAACCGTAACGACAACTTGGACTCCCTTCCGTTCTGCGTAACTCATATTTCAGCATAATAATGCTATATATATTTTGCAGGATCACACTCCCAGCGAGAACACCTGGCGTTCTGTAGTGCTTTTCATGACCAATATATTCACGCGCAGTTGACAATTACACTTTTCTATTAGATGAACAGCTAAACTACCATTCAAATGTTATTGTTTTTCTACGCTTCTCGAATTTCTGTTGCCGAACGATTCAGGTTATAGGGTTGTTGGAACACAAAAGCACTTAGTAATTCTAAAGGCTAAAAAGTTGTATTAGTTAAATTTGTTTAGCTACAACAAATACATTAGACGGGTCTATTTGGAACTCGAATTTTGGACGAATAATATGAATACGACGACGGAAAATATTGTAAAATATATCCTTGAGATTCTTCTACCCGTCCAGTTATTGAAATAATAATTGACAAATGATGAAGGGTAGGTACGACATTGTTAATTTATGCAATATTTTTTTCGAAGAAATCAAGCTCCAAAAAGTTACATGTTGCTGTTGTATGTCGTTATAGCCCGAGTGAGCATATATGACAGTGACTGATTTTTGGTGAGTTATCCGACTACATAGTTCCATGCCGCACTCCAAGGAAGGCGTTCATAATATCGGTACACGACCATCCTAAATACACCCAACCAACTTCTACATATGAAAATATTATTTCTACTTTTCCTAATTAGAGAGAAGTAGGTTATAAATTGGCTCTACGTGGCTATATATCACAATCCCAAAACTTCTTAACTTTCTAAAATATTCTTGTGCTATATCTGTGTTCAAACTGGTATACTTGAAATTGCAGGGGGGAATTTTTCTGTTGTTCAACTCCAACTCTGCTTGCGTTATTCTTGTGCGTGGACTAATCGGCCGTATCTCGTTATATTTATATTATGCTTAACGCCAAGTAATCCTTGGCAATGTACGAGCATATATACAAATGCCGATAATAATACCTTGCAATTTATAATATTCCATGCTCTGAAGATTTAATATCGTATATAATAGGTTTTTATGTTGAAATTATCAATATTCGTGACATGAAATACAAAATGGCTACTCTATATAAGGTACAGTTATTACAACACGCCCAGCCGCCCACTCCCACATAAAACATCGGTCAGGGCAGTTTTTATGATTATCATGATTACGGTGTGTTTGTCTGGCAAAAGTTACGATAAGTTTTTTCTAACATTCATTTTGTGCAATCAAATTTAAATACATTTCCGAGTACTTTTAAAATTGTATACAATATTTTAAGAAAACCAAATGATCTCTCGGTATGGGCAATTTTTTTTCGCCGTGCAATGATTCTCCCAGTAACGGTACCATGACAACTCTCATGACGACTCTCCTTTACCTACAGTTACGCGCGAGGACAGCGCGATCGGTATTTAGCAAAGGAACGACGCTCAATAACCGGGATTCGGTGTTGCCCTAGAACGATAATTGGTGTTTAAAACCCAGGGCTGATCTGATTAGCAAACTCGATTACTTCAAGGACTGAAAGCATAATCAGCACACTTTACCATCAGGAAGTCTTACAATAGTAGTATAGAAAAGACCGTAGGTCGTTATCCTAATTAATTAGAGAGAAAATTTAGGGTTATTTGATTAAGTGGGAACTTAGCGACGCTGTGAGATAATGATAAAACAAGCATATTAACAGTTTATTTATGAAATAATTCGTAACTTTAAATTGATATTAAATAAAAGTGTTTTATATATATTTTTGATAATTCAGAGCTTTATTTAGTAATAAAATCAAATATAACGTCTGTTTACGTTGCCAAGACTTTTGGAGAAGTTACCCAGGTACATTCTGTATAACGTCATGTACAGTCCACAGTCGTTAGTTCCCCCACCCTCGATGGTTACATATCCTCCACCGTTATATCATAGACCACATCATCAATTTTCCTTATCGCCTTCAACGGGAGCAAGTACACCGTCATGTCCGCCGAATTATTACCCAGGCCCCCATCCAGCACACCACCATCATGCAGCCGCGGCAATGTATTCGACATACGATGGTATCTTGAACTATATGCCGTCTGACCCATGCAAACAAGCCTTGATGATGGCGTCTCAAGCTGCCGGTTTTACTGGAATGGGAGGCGAATATAACACGAGTTATGGTGAGACTATTATTAAATATTGCATGCATACGTATGATAACTTATATTTATATAACTTATGTAAAAACGTATGCATTTAATTAATTGATTGAAAATTGATAATTTTACTCATGAACAACTCCATGAAAATCGGAAGTATTATTTTGATTGTCTATTTTGTGGGTGCGGCTTAGCTTGCTGGGTCTGCATATGTAACCGTCGCATCAAAATCATAATACACTATGATTTGTCCATGTTGTAAATTAATCGAAGCGTATAATAAATACCACGTATGTACTTTGTACTTTTGATTGAAATTGCAAAGAAAAGAAAATGTGACTGCTTTGCAATAATTTATGATTTAAAATAGGATATAATACGATATGATAAATAGATTAATGTCCGCATTGATGACAAGTTTCAATATTGTGAATAGAAATCTCTATAACTAAAATTAGGAGGAGTTAAGACAATCCGACAATAGTAATTCATTTATCCAATGTGTAAATTTCAATGCACTTAGTTTGTTTGAACCATCCTGAATAGGAAACCATTTCCACAATGTTATTGTCACTGACAATAATATATAACAACCACCAGTGGCCAAAGTCCACGTAAAATATCCAAACCCAATCGCTATTATTATATCAGTCAGCAATAGTCGTTGCGGCTGCTTTCTAATCGATTACTATTTTTAATATGTTTGAAATTGATCAGAAGTAATTTCGTACCAAGTAAAGTTGACTGCATTGCACATTATTGGTAATACGCGAATGAAGAAATAAAATGACGAATACAGAAAGTTGTACAATTCTTCGTATGTTTAATAATCTGTAACTTAACATTCAAAGGGCAAAAACTTTCACAATGTACTTCATTAAATTGCGTATTTAAGCAACAAGGTATTAACACAGTGACTCCTTTCTTGATTATATTTTTGTATATAAATGTTTATTAGTACTTTGAGTATATTGTTAGTTACAGAGCATTTCGCTGCTTGACATTTAAAGTTTTCTCGGTCTGACAATTAACAATCTGCTCTTTGATTACCAATATTAAACCTTGGTGCTTAGTTAGAATTTTCTTCAAAGTTTGTTTTTATGTTTCCAGGAGAATCGCATTTCCGCTTAAATTATAACAATATTTACTTTTTAGAATAAACCTCAAAGGCACGGGGTATCTTTAAAATCCTCTGGATTCAAATAAATATCACAACTTTAATCGTAATTACCTTGGCAAATCCAACAGCTTTAACGGATTACAAGGATCTCACTTAAATCAGCGATATCGAAAATATCGAAAGTGACCTAAACATTTGTATGCGTAAATAAAATCGCAATAATGACTCAAATATTCTGGAATTTTGCTGTGATTGGATGATTTACATTAAATTACATTGCATATTAATAATTACATAGAAAATTTAGTATAATTACACTGCCTAACACCTTCGCTAAGTAGTGTTAGGCCCGCTATCACTAACTGTATTGCCAAATCTAGTCGTAATAGAAGTCAATCATTTGTTTTCATAAATATTCTCCCAACTTTGACACACTAAATTAAATATGCTGTTTTGGTGTGTTTAAGCTACTAATTCCATCGGATTTTTGGACACATTTCACCGAGAAAATCACCTAATCGTGTTCATAAATATATGACGACATATACGAGATATTTATAGAAAAGTAATTCCTATCAAAACAGCAGATGAAAAGCTGTTGTATACAAAGGATTATTGAAGCCGTGTAATTAGTTAATGTAATTTGAGTTCTTTCTAACATGGGGTTTATATTGTTTCTGTGCGTTTTGACGCATTTGAAAATTCATACAATATCTACTATGGTTTAAACTGGGCTGGAAGTCTCAACAGTCCATTCGCGAGGACAGCACAATTAGCCTGTAAACTATATCGATAGCGCTGAAAAAGCGTATCATTGAAAATAGACGAGAATACATTATTTTCCAATACGATAAGAATGGGAAAAATACAAAATGTTCCTAACTATTCCCAACATAAGTTGAGCATTGCAGTTTGAATAATACTTGAATGCTGCTTCTGAAAGTTTTTTAGCAGTGGGTTGAATGAATCGACACCAGTTCATTCGTCCGATCATAGTCTTAAAGTGTAACACCAGACTTTAGTATTCGACATGATAATTTTACTGTTTATGCAAAAATATGTTGTGTGTTTCAATTCATTCCGCAATGAAATGAACTATAAATATTTGGAAACACGGATTCGTTGGTCTATCTCTCTCTCTCGCCAAAGGAAGATGACGACTAACAAAGCGTCAGCAAATGTTGGTGTAATTAACCGCAGATTTACTGGGTCACAGAAATGGCATACGCTTCCTAACGGTGTTAAATTTCAGATTTAGTAAAGGTAAACAGCTCCTTGTACAAGCGATGTTATACATGCTTCAATCATTACTACCGCATGTCCATATATTTTTTAAAAACTTATTTACATAGTTCACGAATATTGTTAGCAATGCCATGTTAAACGTCGCTTAAAATAAAATATCTTGATGCTTAGAAACGAATGTTTTCAGCATAGCATTATTGACAAGTATGAATATTTGGTTACCCTGAACTGTTAAAATGTATTTAGAAACATAAAAGGAATTTAATTCAAATAGAAGTATAATCCAAGCAGTATTGGACTATTTAAGATTTGAGGTATAAAATGAAAGTAAATCCTTACTTCAATTTAATGGAACATATGACAGATTTACAAAGATAGATCTACTCAGTGGCTTCACGTGAATAATTATTGGTAGATTTCAATTCAATGGGTTTCATTTTAGAACTAGGCTCATTTCCAATAAGTGAGCGGCCCCACTTACAGTTCTGAATAATAACACGCGACTCGGAACATTTTATGCGCACAGGTAACATTTAGACGTTTCCATGTTGTCAATATAAAGACCGACAATGACGTAACGTCGAATAAATGATTTTTAGATACCCATTGTGAAACACGAGTTCTGAGGTTTTCACGGTCTCTGCAAACTTGAACTAGAAATGGAAAAATGATCCGGTGTCGTAGAATAGCAAAACAAACTAGAATGTAATAATTTTATGTTTCATAGAACCTTGAATATGCTGTAAAATATTTTGCGGGATTGTTTTCATTTTTTGCGATCCATAGTAGTTGAACGTGAGAGTTGACCCCTGAAATCTATGTATATATAAAGAACCTAATTTGCTACTTTCAATAAGCCGTGGAGAGAAGATTCAAGTATATTCTGAAAAGTGGGTTGTTTCAACTATAATTTTCATGTACTTTGTACAAAAAAGAATGAATTACACGATGATAATACAAACAATTTTCTATCTGAACTATATACCAGTGCATTCTAGTTGAATATGGTCGGGTTGGGAATTTTTTAAAATGAATAAAAAAGTTTTGAGTCGTATATCCAGATGGGAAACCACTTGTCGAAACAGACAATCGCGGTCACGTTTCATATTCAAAATGGCGTAAAATATACCCGAGTGCGATGCCTGATATACTTTCTTGACCGTAAATTGCATCAAGTTAATGGAGCCTGTGAGTTATCAACACAAACACACTGAAACATCATCCAGGGTTTTTATAGTTTTGTGAAAACACAACTCTCGAAACAAAGTGAAAATCAATCTTCAATCATATGAAGATGAAATATACTTCGTTAATTTTACTAACGATCATACAAATTATGGTTATTTATATTATTTTATATTTTTACCGACTTGAACCCTTACTATTACAAATCAGGAAGCGGCTGTCTCAAAAGTGTATTAGTGAACTACGCTATGTCGTTTAGAATATGTTGGACAAAATTGGGGCTATTATTTGTGGTTGTTTTTGCATGGAACTAACCGAGCACACGGCATACAATTGAGAGCGAGCGAAGAACGAGGATTTTCCTGCAGTTTTATGAATGGCCCCTCTCACAGTTCCAATTCATAAGAAAGTATTCAAAACCTGAAAGTTAATTTAATCCGAACAATCAAATACTATATATACTTGATTTAAAAAAAAAAACTTTTGAGTTTTTTACATTCTAATATTATCATTATTGCTTACAACTATATAATTGTCTCATTCTCCGATTCTATTAGTTTAGTCGCATAAGGTATTTGTTTGATCAAAATTACTAAAAAAAAGTTTTGAATCCAATTCTTTGTGTTTTTGTCATTTTATAAAGTACCAACGTTATTCAGACGCAACAGTCCGCTCATGTTTCAAATACCGTGTGGTTTACGGAGAGTCCATCGCGTAAGGCTAGGTGAGAAGTACTCGAACTTTCCTTCGAGGCAGGAATTTCTGATTCAATTCACGTCCTACGTATTTTTGCGTGTTATACTTATCATGATATTACGGTTTTCCCGAATTTGTACTATGATTAGGAACGAGAAGTTTTTCTAAAAAGATAATTTCGAAGTTCAAAGTGTTAATTTTGATATACAAAATTGTATATTGATTGTTGCCACTAAAATTTGATTCAATAAAGGCAAGTTAATACCATTTAAATCGGTACTCCCATAGTGTGTGATTTTCCTTATTTTAGTTCTATTACGAGTTCGGGGACTGTATGTGTTGGCCAAGTGAATATACCCCCTGTCCATAATGTTCAGTCCCATTACACAACTCGATGTAAATTAGGCGAACAAATGAGTTACCTCCATGTTGGCACACACACTTCTGGAGCGCTTTTTATTCTAATATTGTGCGTTCTACGCTTTGAGAAGCAATGTTTCTAAAATTTTAGTTGTAAATATTGGGTCTCATCCGAAGATTAATTGTTTTTCTTTGCGAAAACTTGGGTTGATTTTTTCTAGTTGAACAAGTCGGGCTGTTGACGGTCCGCTTATCAAAGGCTACAAATGCATATACGCACTATTTCATAGTAAACACGAATGTATAGAAAGTATAACTCAAGTGAAGTTTGAGAGTAACCATTTATTAGCTGAATTCCAACTGACGAAATAAAATCCTCTAAAGTGAAGCTTTTTGATAACCTGATTGGGAAACAAATTTTTGCTCAAAAATATCCATAGTTAATACTTATATCTGTGGGGCGGTATTCATGTGCAAAAACAACGATACCGATTCTCGCTATAACGTAACTTATTTTGTTACTTGAGCCTAAACATTTTTATGTCGCGCCGTTCGGTATTTTGATTTCCATTCGTTATGATTTGTATATTTCCGGGCGATGTCGATCGGCGTGACGACACATAAAAACACAAAAAATACTGAGCAGTGTTTTCAGTTTTTTCACCAAATTTCCTCTGTGATCACAAAGGAGACACAAACGTAACGCTTTGTGAATATCTTTTCAACAGCTTTGATATGTATGAAATTTAATGTCATCAATGATAATTAGTACCTACACCTATTGATACCTATTGACTTCAAGTTATTGACTAGTGGTGGTCAAAATATACAAACTATCTACAGCTGTGTACAATAGATGTTTTGAACCTGAATAGCTTTATTATATTTAACGTTTCGCGGGTTGACTGCATGACTGTGTCAGATGTCTAGAATGACACAACATATTCACGGTACAATAAATTATTTACCAAAGGTGTTTCATGAAATATTTCTCTGCTTATATCAAAAGCCTCGACACAATGAATTCTAACAATTATTTTCTGAGAGTGTGTTGGTCAAATATATTAGTTTTACGCCGCAATAGAGTAATACTCTTGAAAGGTTTATCGATATCCGATAAGCAGTAACAAATTGTTCATCCCCAGTAACTCATTGCATTGGAGAAAGTTTTAATTTAATTCTATTGAAAACAAACTTGATGCTTTAATGATATATTTAAAAAGAATTTTAACATTGTTCCACGTATATTCAGAAGATGACTCAAAACCATCGAAACAAAGAAGAGCCAGAGCAAACTACAGTCAGTGGCAGCTCGAAGAACTTGAAAGGGCATTCCATTCAACGCATTATCCAGATATCTTCATGAGAGAAGCACTGGCATTAAGACTTGATCTGATCGAAGCAAGGATACAAGTAAATATCATTTAAATTTTGAGGTCAATCAAAAGTATTCCAATATATTTTACCACACAGCAAAAATGAATTAACCTGAAAACGTAGTTAGGGATCTAAGATGATTTGACAACATTCCATGTGATACTGGAGATACAACGATTTCACTATAAAAACGCAGTATGACGCAAACAAGTCACAAAATTCTTGACGACATAGAGGCTTTTGAAAAGCCACACTTTTTAAAAACATGTTTAATGAATATGTTTATGTTTTGATAAACAATGTAATCTCACAATATTGGATGTAAAACATAAGCGGAGAAAGTCACTCTATGTATGACTATGCTTTATTCAGAAAAATAAATCATTTGTAATTTTCCAAAAAATTTGATGAAAAAGATATTGTTGTTTCGCCGCTAAGCTTGCCATATTATTGTTGACTCGACAGACTATTTTAATATCATTTTGCATATTTAAAAATAATTTACACCTTTAACAATAAAAACCCAATTGTTAGTTGTTTTTAACGAAGTATAACAATGAAAATTAGCCTGATAAATGTAGAAAACAGTAACGACCCAACACGGCGATAAGTTCGGCGTTTTCAGAACCGGTGTAATGTAACGACCAAGAGAGACGAATGACTTCAAGTGGCCAGATTATTGTGGATTTAGAATTATCACGCAAATCTTCGGGTTATTCAAAAACATACATGCCATTTCGATTATGGGACTTAAAAGTGGGCAGATATAGCTATCGAGATAAATATCCAAATATTTTTGAAAGAGGTTTTAAAATAAAATGGTCTGTATTGTTATATTTTACCTTGAAAAACTGTAGAAATCTACATCAATATATTACAAAATTTGATTCTTCATTAAAAAAAAACATGAAGTGTTTCTGATTAACGTCAAATTTGGGGAGAATTTAAACATATTTTATGCTTGGACTATTATTTTGTAACTGATTAACTTTTTAGTCCGTTCAAACCGAAAAATACAAGGCCGCACATACAACCCGAAAATATATTAACTCAAAGAATGTGCGGTGTATTTTTCAAAATCAATAATTAGAATTAGAAACATTTTTGAACTAATGTTTGATGGCTTCAAATCTTATCATATTACCGGTCTTAACTTATACGTTCGGGCTAATTTATTGGGCAAGCCCAGAGAAACTGAATAACTTCTGATCCAGGGATAGGACTTCACTTTAATGAGTCTTTGCTTCTCTGACTGTTTTTAATTATTTTGTGCGTTGATAGAAATGTGTTTTCTAGGGTGATTTTTTTCGCCATTTTTATCCAAATCCAAATTAGTAAACAAACTTGCTTTGAATAAACTACAAAATTGTGAAATGTACATAAATCCCTATCTAAATGAATTTACAAATAGTGTACTTCAATTTATGCTATAGATTCCACCAATCACAGTATATAAATAGAAGAGCGTATGAAATTTTGGTCACCAATTACCATTCACCAGAAATTAACGCCATACAAATAGAAATGCTTGTAACATTTAACTATCTTATCGATTAACAAATGAGTGAAGATGTACCGGCCGCAGAAGATTATTATATCCCCCAACGCTTACGAACATCTCCGATATTGGATGCTACATGCCGACTAATTTAATTACTGAGGCTGTCTGATCAAATTATCAAATTAGACACACGTTGCGTCCGTTAACTTTCGCCAGGTGGAAGAGTAATGTGTCAGGCTAACCAGAATCTCTTAATCCAAATTTAAGAATTTTAGCTTTAACAATAACAATTATTGTAATTTGGGTATTTAAACAACAAATTAGCGTCACGAAAATCAAACTATTGACTCTCGATTAGGAGAGAAAGGAAGGGGACAAGAGACGTTTTGGAATCGACAAAAAAAGTTATTCGGTTCCCGCAAAATCGAAGCTTTTTGTGACCGATCAGATTACTTCGGCAAAATTTATCTTATTTACATCACATGTTTTTCGCATAGTGTCATCCTAATAAATATGTACGATGTCGATGACAACAACAATGACCAAATATATTTTTTAGAATTGAAAAACACGATAGATTTTATAAAAACGAGTTTCATAAGAAGCGTAGCATAATATTACAACGTAACGTAATATTTACATATTATGATTTTAAACGCCAAAATTTTTCTCAAATCAGAAATTGTAATTAGCGGCTCTTTTTCAATGGTGTACTTGGTTAGTATCTTCATCTTATCGATTGATATTATATTATTTCAAACTTGAATTATGATTAAATATTCGAACGTTTCTTATTTGTATGCTGTTCCTTATTGTTGATTTAAAATTTTGAAAATCGCCATTTTAAAAAAAAATTCAAATTGGCGGAAGGCAATTTAGCCCAAACCTTCAAGGCTCCATTATGTTCGTTTACTTTCCATAATTGGGCAACTTTTTGCGGTATTTTTGAAAAGTGGTTCGTTGAGTACCGTCAACCACCCCCATGTTTCCATAACAGTATCGCCCGACGTAGGGCGTCTACAAGCTTTGGAGATAAGACGGGTCAAAAGGTGTCCAAATATGGTTGTTCTCGACTAATACATTAAGGCACGGTCATTTTGCATAACCTCCCATTACATGAGGATTATAGGACTCGAGGTAATTCTGGAAAACGAAATGCGATCACTCTGTACAATTCAAATATTGGTGCCGCCATTGTTTATCTGAACTGCAAATTGTCTGGCAAGAAATCAAATAAGAAAGTAAATATTTGGGCTTTACTAGAAAATTCAAACAAATTAACAGTTTTTTTCTAAAAGTGTACTTAAGGGGTTTGAAAAAACATTGAAAAACTATATGGTATGATATCCCAATTATAAATATATGCTTGTGCAACGCTTGGGTTATCTAAAGAGCCCCAAAATGCCCTTTGTGTTGTGCAGCGCTGTATTACGACCATAAACATGTTTTGGGAGAAACAGAGGAGATTCGCGTTCGAACGTGAGGTTGTTTGAACTGCCATCCGGAACTAATGGTTTGAAATGTTCTGGCGCCACTAGAGCGATGACGTCTACTAAATCAGATGTAGTATTTTGTTTCTGACATTTTTTAAAATCTTAACTTTTCGTTTAAATAAGATACATCACTTGGGATTTGGATCTGCACAAAATGGTTTGAGCAATGAGACTCTCAATTTTGTAAAATTTGACGGTTGAAACTATCTTAAGTTCTGATGACTTTAATGTTACGATTTTACTAGCTGTGTTACAATCAGAATCGTTTGTTGAACATTCATACAAAATTGTCAAAACTTGACACCATGGCTATTCTATTCAACGCCAATTTTCATTCCAATTTCTTTAGTTTTGCGTTTAATTAGTCAGAATATGAACCAGCGCCGAACAAAGGGCACAAACAAACAATATACGCGTCCAAAGTATCGTTTTTATGGAATCTTTTTGTCAAGTGGTATCTGTAAAAAGTATCAAGAGTTGAAGAATGTATCGTTCTAGCTCCGAACGTTGACAGAAGAACAAAAAATTAATTACGGTGTTGGTTTTCTGGGAACGAGAAAATATAAATCTGTTACCATGAGATGTTATTTTCCGCTCGAAACATCATTGTATTACATCGCTTTTGAAGGGATTTGTCCCCAGCGATCCTGCGGCAGAGATTTTTAAAATATGGCGTTCAGTGGCCCAACACCGCTTTGAAAAACATCCGCCGTAGCGGAAGCTAACGGTAGTCCGCTCGGGAGCAAATACGTTAATTGAGAGCGAATTATCCAAATTTATTTTTTCTGATACCTTATACACTTTTTTAATTAATCACTTATTTTTATTCAATAGACATTTTTTATATATAGTATGTTCCCGACCGTGCAACCTTTTAACCATTTGACTTTTTTGAAATCCTAAAATAGTAAAATACGATAACAAGTTGTCAAATGAATGCTTTTACCCAGATGTTAACATTAACGTTACGAGTTCATTTGGTTTGAGCATGAAGAGTTATCAATAGTTAATTGGTAGACAACATGCTGGTGATACATACAGAAAAGGCGACGCTGACAAAGAATCTTTTGAAAAGCAACCTAACGAAAATATCCGCTGATTTGTAAAGATTTCAACTTCATAATAACGCGAAATGTTCGACGTAAAAGTTAACAAAGACAACAGGACGTAGCGACACGCAATTGGAAAAATTGAATGAATATGAAAAGCATGGATAGGTGCGACCTAACAAATGTAAATTAAACGCAAACCGATATTTTATGGATTATTTTCATGACATTTTCGCGGTCGTTCGAACCTCAGTTACTTCAGTTGAGCGTACCGGATATGTATATTTATTTTCATAAGATCATGAAAAGAATTTTGTCTCAATGGAAGCTAATAAGTAAATTTGGAGTTTGTGCCAAATTCAATTTATACAAATAATAACAAATCCTGGTGTATGAAGCTCATTGAATTTCATCATATTTTCAACGTTGAGATGTACAAAAATCAGGTGTCTGTAAGTGTCTCGTGTTCTGGCTCTTATTTTATATTGTCTGTCTGTCGATCCCATTTTATATTTGTTCATTCATTTAACAATAAATCAAAATTATATCCGGTAGTAGGGTATTAGAATATTTATGCAGGTGTTTTGATTTTTCCACAAAGCTAAACTTATCGACTTTTTACATGCGAATTACTTTCTCCTAGGAAACTGATTAATAAAGAAATAGGTGTATTTTCACTATTTAAAGACCATAATATTTGTAATACTGCATTCAATCTTTGATACATAGATGAATGTTATTTTATTAAAAAAAACTATCAAAATAATGAAGAATGTTTGTGAAAAAACAAAACAAAAATTTATTTTTATAAATTTGGTGAAAAAAAAATAATCAATGAAAAACTATAAATTAGCGCACGTCATTTTTTAGAATGATTTATTTTGCAGCGTAACACTTCAAGGGTGCGCACTGTTGCCAAACAACCGGTGTTCCATCATCCAGCAGTCTTTAAAACTGTCAGTTTGTTCAACGGATTAGAGCTTTTGGATGAAATCATACATAGGTATTGGCGAAACGAATATTGTACAACGAACAAACAGTAAATGGAAGAAAAATTCAAATTATAGTAGAAAAATAATTAGACAAATTATTTTGACAAATATACTATGGATGCTACGACGGCAAACATTTTCTCTGAATCCTAAAAATATCCTTTATTCTTTTGAAAAATAAATTAAACAGTGAACTTAATACACACTCGGCTCTGTATAAGTGTTGAGCGCATTATTGGAAAATTGAAAAAACTATTTAAAATATAGGTATTATTTTTCACCATTCATCCGTTTTCTGTATCCCGTATGATATTTTAAAATATTGGTGAATTGGTAAAAATCGAATTTTTACCGTTGTGGGATCATGTAAATTAGGCTGATGAATGCTGTGCAACATTACACCCCTTCAAAGAGAGTAAATGTATGTAAACACCAACAAACAATGTTTCTGAAAGTAAAAGGTTCACGCCTGGATAAATCCTCGTTCGACGCAAATTATATTCGAATGATGGTAGATAGTAAAGCCGTTACAAACCTGTGAAACTTGAATTTAAATTATGATCATTTTTGTTGGCTCGTTTACCCATTTAAGCACATTTTATCCGCTACAATTTTGAATAGTGGTTTGGATAAATTCATCACAAAGGTATTCCCAAAATGAAAGTGCTTATAAATATGAATAAAAACCAGCAAAGGTACGTTCATAAAATCGATCGTAATAGCTGCGGTAATAGTAAAATAACTTTCTTAATTTTATATTATTGCTTTACTTATCCTGAATTAGAAAATTTATCGATTTACACCTATAAGTATATGCACAATCATTTTGATCGCCCTAAGGCCTAAACTACAGTGGTTCTCAACATTTTTCGTTTCGTGGCCCATTTTCGTTGCGTAAAAATTTTATGGCCCACTAAGTGTTTAATATAAGAGAAAAACTGAAAAGAAAAAAAAATTCCTGCAAAAACAGACAATTTCACTTTAATGATTAGAATGAAAATTGCCACCCTGTAGCAAAAAACAGTATCACCAATCAATGCCACTAAAGCATCTAATTTAACTAGGTTTATTAACAACTCCAGTAATTTTTATTAGATTTGTGGTCTATCTAAAAATGTTTCTGTGTCCCAGCAATGGGCCACGACCCGCTGGTTGAGAAACGGTGTCCTAAACACTTTACAGTTAGCTTTGATCTCATAAACTGAATGTTTCAAATATTTTTTATGGTCATAAATTTTAAATAGTATTTAGTTTGTCCATCGTGTAAAAAGCAAATGTACATATATACCGCTACCGAAATGCGTTAAAGTCATTGCAAGCACATAGATAAAGTGGCATTCTATCATAAGCGATTGAGAAACTGATCAATTGATGTAATTCAGTATGACCGACCGCCCAAGTATCAAACGCGAGTTCTGACCAATCTATTTACCACGATAAACGGCCCGGAAAGCAAAAGTATTCCAGAGAAGATGAAGAGCAATGCTTTATCAACGTAAATTAATTGCAGTTCGTTACATGAGACTGGAAGGATCCGGAACAAATATGTCTAAAGTAGTAATCCATCAGGAGTTATAGCTTAAAACAAATAGCGATGATGTGCAACATGCCGTACATTTTAACTAGGAAAATATTCGTCTAGTGATATCACATATGAAACATTTAGGAAACCGACGAACGATTCATTCAATCAGTAGCGTTTTTCGGGCATTCACAAGGCTTCGATTCAATTACTATAGTTACATATAAATAATAAAGCAATATTTTTTCATGATACGGTATCAACCCTTTTCGGTTGCTCAATAAGATCATTGACATTTTTCTATTAAATACTTGTTCTGACATGAGTCGCGCTCAGTTTTTTTTTTTAATTTTCAAATGATAATTTTGTGCATTGCAAAAACTGCAAATATTGAAACTACTATGATAGTTGCTTTCGGTATGGAGGGCTTTAACCCGAAGGGGCGAAACTTGGAATATGTTTTTTAAGAAAATGAGGAGAATTATAATCTTGATCTTTACCTCTAGTAACTTTTTATCGAAATACTCTGCGTCAAACCATTATATATATATATCACCTTGAAGAACACCCATGTCTAAGTGATATTTTTCATCCGTGTTGTTGTCTACTTGTTTTAGCCATTTTAGTACTGTAGATTATTTGATTCAATTTGTTTATTTTTCGTAGTCGATTGAAAATATATAAAATATAATCGTTAATCGCAGCATTTTTTTTTATTTCCATGAAAAATAAATATTTGTGCTTTTGAATTATGTGCATGTAATCAAAACACTATGATCATTCATTGATATGTCATTATTCTATTTTAGGTATGGTTCCAAAATCGCCGGGCAAAACTTCGAAGACAGATGAAGATGCAGGGTAAATCAAACAGCACGGAAGGGCAGAAAAACGAAAAATCAGACGCAGAAGACGGTAAAGATCTGGATACAAAAACAACTGCCGAAGGAGAGAAACAGAAAGACGATGCCAGGCCAAGTTCAGTGAAACAAAATGAAGATTCGGGTACGGTAAAGACTGAACTGATGAATAAAGATGGAATAACTACAGATTCAGAAATTAGTGGTAAACCATCGCAACAAAAAAGTGAACTTCAGAAAACTATTGAATTAACGAATAATGAAAGCACAACCCCCGTAGATTTTTCTATGGACAAAACAAAACCGCATATTGAAAATATGTATACCGACGGAACAAGCGCCCTTGAGGCGTTATCTTCATCAGTTTCAAGTTACACAGCTTCGCCAACAACTTCTAGGAAATCTGCTCATGATTTCTATGGAGTGACACGAAGTCCAGGAGAAAAAAAAGCACACCGATCTGGGTATTACGACATTTATCGTCGAGGCCATAGTACATCCGAATATACAGGGACCTGGGGATCTCAGCCATCTGTTTCTCCAAACTCCCATTCGCCACCAAGTCAATTCATGGCATCTGCTCATACATCGCCGCATTCTGTAATAACAGCATCCCAGCAAAATACTTACGTTGACCCGACAGTGCACCACACTGAGTCAGGTGAGAACATGCTAAATTTGACTTCGGCACCTGGCAACCCTCAACGGACGACACTCGAAATGGCCCCTCTTGGATCAACTGATGCAGCACGAAGACAAGATCAATTTAATGATGCGTACTCGTTTAGAAGCATGGAATGCCACGGTTCTCAAGATCCTATTTATAGAAATGGCTCGATAGCTGAAAATCACCCTTACGATGCTTGTAATACCAACGACATAGCCTGCTGTACAGACGACCGTAGGCCACCTCTCGACCAACCTTTTAGTGAGAGAAGAACGTCTTCGATAGCTACTCTGCGAGCAAAGGCAAAAGAACACCAGCAAGTAATGATGCGACTGCCACAGGGTTATAGTCAATATTGTCCGAATTCGATGAGAAACGCGGAGAATGCTGCTTCGGCAGTTGCTGTTGCTGCCGCAACATACATGAATGCACCGGTCGGACCATACAACCACCATTTGTATTCGACTTCACCCCCTTCCCGTATCCCGTCAACTCATGATGAAATGCTTCATCATCTTTCCTCTTCGATTCATCATTACAGTGGAAATGAACTGGCTCCCGCTGGTTTCGGAAGCCATCCTTTATCGACTTAATTACCATATCTGTTATATATTGCTGTAACTTTACCCTTCAAATATTTTATCATGAATACATATTACTTGAGAAACAGCAAACAGATATTTCCTGCACAATTATGCTTTTACGATAAAGCTGAAACGCGTGTGGATTTAGAACAGATGTCAATGGGAAATAAAATATGAATTTATATAATGAATGCGCATACTGCCCTGTGTACTTTAACAGCCGTCCGAATTTTACTTAGTCGTTGATGTTTTGACTCAGAAAAACTGGTTATATATACTACTTAATGATATCTAGAAAACTATACCATTTTAATACACACTAAAATTGTTACCATTTTTGGACATTTTTGAGTTACTTCGGCTTAATCACAACGATATTGTCTTTTTTATTATCATAACATCTTCATGAACATTTAACAACTGCTGCACACAAAGCAAGCTAATTACTGTAAGCCATCTAATTATACTAATTTACAACGTTCCTCAACAACTTTATTGAACTATTTTCTCAAAGAATTAGCTTTATCTTTCGTCTTTGCCGATTAATGTTTTGTTCGTATTTATATTAAATATTGCTGAATGTATATCTTTGTAATGAGTATTGATTGTAATGGTTATAGTTTGGGGTGAAAAAAGAGGCAATGTCTTGTTAGGAATTTCAAGCAAGATACGGTCCTTCGTAAGATAAAAATGAACTCGACGCAATTACCATTTTATCGTGCATTTTCACAGATAACTTGGAACTCTTTGAAAGCACCATTATGCATATATAATAAATTAATATTGACGGAGCAATTGTTAGAGGGGAAAGTCAGTAGATTCACATTTCTAATTGCTCCTGCTGGCTGATTGCTGCAAAATCCTCATGCTGTGCAGTCAAATTTATTTCTGAATAATATATATATATATATCAGGGTAGTCCGAACCCCGGCACGCGGGCCGCAGAACAGTTTCAGAGTACACTAATGACTAAACCATCAGCAAATTTTGTATTTATTGGCAGAATATTTTTCGAGTTTTTTTTATCTATTCTAACTGAAGCCCGAGATTTATTCCCTTATCATGATCCCGATGTCGTGAAGGTATTTGTTAAAATTGCGGAATTTCAAGGTTGTGTCTATAAACGTCACGGCGGTGTCGATAGGCCGTTGCCGGTATGTGGGCAAGGAGAATGAATTGTCTTGTGCAGACAGGGCCCGACCGATAAGAAGAGAGCGCTTTTCATCTCAACTTCCCACCTTAAACTCGCGTCGAGCAACTCCTTATCTGAATAAGAGTTTTGTGCCTATATTTCACTAAAAACACACCTCTATTTTCAAGCGTGGGTCATGTGACAGCAGTGACGAAACGCAAATCTGAAGCGAAGCAAGAACCAAAGGCAAAAACATCAAATTGTTTGGTTATTTTGTTTGTGTTTCATATATATATCTTCTTTAAATAAAAAAAGCCACCCATGCAACATAGCGATAGGCAGATTAGAACGGTAAACTCTCATTCTTTAATATATATTTAAAGTAACTAAACTCGCAGTATTTTGATCACTTTAGTCGTTGCTCTTGGGTTTTCCCGACTGCGGCCCGCAAGGTCTTCTCAAATTTTTTTGCGGCCCTCTAACCTCGCAACCTTGGACTACCGTGATATATATAGTTATAAAAGGCCCTAAGACTACTCTATGCTGACATTTAACGGAAGTGAAGGTTCTGAATTGACGGTTACCACAGCCAAACGCTGTCAGTGTGTATCTACTAACTGTTAATCGTCTTGCACTGGCTTTCGAAATCTTCCATCGAAACTTTGGACGAGTAAAATGTTTTTACAAATTACTAGAAAAGAGATATAGAATAACCGTTAGAAATATAAAAAAGGCTAATCAAAACAATATAGTTGTAGTAAAGCAACCCTTCGTTTATATTGTCACCCTCTGCCGAAATAAAGAATGAATCTTCAAAAAACAGACTTGCATTTGTATCAAGATAAATCTGCGCTATAAATTCGATATAGAATGCTATATATTTAGCTATATATCTATATCTCTTTATATCTAGCTACGTTATATCTGCGCTCCGTGGGCTATCAAAAACATTCACGTTTCATAGAATTATCAGATGTACAAGTACAGAGAAAACTGGGGGCTTCGAACTTTTTAATTCTTTAAAATAAGGAGCCATCTTTGTCTTTGAAAAAATCTCATTAGAAAATTGCATTGAATAAGCGTGTATTTCTAATGGTACACTTTCAGATAAAGGTGCAAATGAGTATAACAATTTTGAAAATGATGATGATGGTCTTGGAAAAAGAAATAGTTCCCAGGCCAGAACATTATCTAAGTAGATGAGATTATGAGATTGAGCCTCAGGAAACCATACCTGCGTACAACTATTTTGACTGTTCGAATTTATAACAAGAGACAAAAATTATCCGAAAACGAACCTAGAGGTAAAATGATAACATCACAATGGTATTGCATATCAACTCATGAACCATCCTATACCAATTGTTGAGCAAAACAATAAATATATATAACAAAAAAATGGAATTGGCTGAACACATATGTTGCAAAAAACTACTACTGGTCGTGTTTTCATGGAACCTTTCAGAGTAGAGGCGAGGTCGACTGATTAATGTTAACGAAAGTCTGAAGAAAAAAGGGAACACATACTAGAGGACAGTCCGGTCACTGCCAAAATTGTAAAACCGTGTCGAAACTAACAAATTGCCAACTACTTATCTGCTACAAAAAATGCTTTCTACCGTTTTCCCTCGAAAATAAGACCTACCCTGAAAATAAGACCTAGCCTAGATTTTTAAAATGATTTTAATATAAGCCCTCCCTTAAAATAAGACCTAGTCAACAACGCGATTTTTTTGACCTAGTCTATAGCAAGAAATCTCTCATACACGTTTTAAAGGTTTGATATAATCTATGTTTTGCAGTTATTCTGAATAACAACGTGTTATTTATGAGGTAATTGATATCGGTTTTCATATTTGGTATTGGTATATTTGAAAATCTCGTAATTCTCTACTTTGAAATTTGTTTTTGACAAATGAAAATACTGGACATCTCCCGAAAATAAGCCCTAGTGTTATTTTTCGAAAGGAAATTGAAAAAAGGCCAATTTTATTTTGGAGAAACACGGTAAATCTTTGCAGCGTAGCGTGATCAAAATAAAGTTTCTTTCTCCGATGAAATACATAACAGCAAGTAATACAAAATAATCTTGATTCAAAAGCAAAATTTTTTATATTTCTGCTCTCTAATAGATATATAAAATCAAAGTTTTAAATAATTTTAAAGAAATAGATAAACGAAAGTTTGGATTAAAGTTTGAATAAAACTTGTTAAGGACACCCCGATATCAGGCTTGTTTAAAACTTCATCTGTTTGTCACACACTTGTCCTGCTTGCATCGCAGTTGTCCTGCTTATCTCACACTTGTCGTGCTTGCATCAAAATTGTTCTGTTTGGCCCATACTTGTTCTGATTTTCTCACGCTTATCCTGATATTCCAACACTTGTCCCACTTGTTTTTCAAACTTGTACCGCTTGTTCCATACTTTTACTTGTTCCCCACTTATCCCGCTTGTTTTACACTTGTCCTGATGGAATCAAACTAGTTTTGCTAAATTGCACTTGCTCTGTTTGTCACAAACTTGTATTGCTTGTCCCACACTTGTCCTGCCTTTTTCATACTTGTTGTGTTTTTGTTGCAGACTTTTCCTTATTGTATTATCGGGGTGTCCTTAACAGGTGTTTATTTAAATTTTTATCGGAAAGGTACGTATACCGTGCCATAGTCTAACCCAGTGGTTCTCAAACTTTTTAGAGTTGCGACCCACTGTTTATTACCACAGCTTATGGCGACCCATTTAAATTTGGTATAACATAACACAGAACACAGCAATGGCTAATCATCGTAAAACTACCGTGTTTCCTCGAAAATACGACCTGGCCTGAAAATAAGACCTAATTTGAATTTTAAAAATGATTTTAATTAAACCCTTCCCTTAAAATGAATTTAAAATGCGTGGGAGAGGAATAGTTAAATGACCTGAGGTGAGGTGAAGATCGCGCCACTATTCAAGATTGTGTGATATCACAATTATGATATTTGTCACTTGATTTTTGTATAGGAAATACAAATAAAAACAATGGATGTCGGTTTTTATATAATGTTCATTAAAAAATCTCGTGATTTTCTACAATGTAATTTTATTTTTGATAAATGAACTCAAAAGACCTCTTCCAAAAAAAACCCATAGTTTCATTCTTCAAAAGAAAATAAATCTAAATCCTGCCTAAATTTTGAGAAAACACGGAAGAAGTGCTGTACAGTGTACAAAACTGCTATGCGTAAAAAAGCCACATTTTTTAGCAGCAAATTTTTGTTCATTGAGAAGATCGTAAATAGGGAAACTTTGCCAGATTAGACTTTAAATTCAATTTAATTTATTTTGTTTTTTTGAAGATTTACGTATTCGAGTCGCCACCGATCCTAATAACCAGTATAATTAATCAAAGCTTTCTATATCTTTTCACGACCCACTAAGATTCCTTTTGCGACCCACCAGTGGGTCGCGACCCATAGTTTGGGAACCGCTGGTCTAACCTAACCGACTTCAGCCTGCCTTTTAAAAATGTTGTAATTGTTGACCAGACAATCTTAATTATAGGAGTTCTCGTGATAGACCATAGGTGGGAGGCTACACCGGGCTTTAACTCGTTTATTTTCGTACGAACTCAGATATGAAGGTTGTTTGACGGTGGGCCGGGCAGACTAAATTTACTCATAATGTATTACCAACCGCTTCCATTTGAATATTTTATTTTAGCGTTTATATTCCTGCGCTACTATTTTTGGTAAAAAATTAAACAAAAACGACACGTGCGCACCAACATTTTCATAGCAAAAAAAGTTATTGAATTTGTGAGCTTTATGATAATATTTGCCTATACGCGGGGAGCAGTAGAAACACAATCAGTAAAGTTATAAACACAGGCAGATGTTTGCCCGACCATTCTACGTGTTACATTGTTGGACATGGAGTGGGCCTATGGATCGTATTGGTATTATGTTGTTGTTGTCTTATTATCTTGTTCTTTATCATAGAAATTTATCGTTATGAAAATTCGCTTTCCTTTTTGATTACTGGACCAATTGCTTTGAAATTTGCAGTGGCTAAAGATTGTATCTCCTCTGGAAGGCTACTTGGTGATGTGCAAGATTGATTTTATTCAACCCTCATGCCTCGACTAACGAATCTGACGGTTGTCTAAAAATTACTTGCACGCCGATGGACAAAATCGACGGCAAAAAGAAATCTGCATTTAATTGTAAAGCAGAAGTGGACACTGGACAGCGTAAAAGAAATTGTACAATGTTCTTTATGACCACCCATATTCGCAAATCATTGATTCATCTACAAAAATTAAGCATCAGATTACATCATTTAAATTTTAAAAGAAGTAAAAGATGACTTAAGCGTTGTCACAAGAAATCAAATTGATTGCGCAGGTATGTAAAATTCATTAAAGTCGTGTTAAAGTCCCAGAGTAAGAGTGCTTAAAGAAACGCGTTCATCAATCTTCAATAGATTTTGATTGAAGTTAGAAACTGGAAAGGGCATAAAATATCTAAAGGAGCTGATAACTTTTGCAATGACTGACTTCGTAGTTTCATTTAAATGTTTTATTCAAATAAAGCACAAATATGTGGGCAAAGTCTTGAATCTGTTTATAGATTTCGGGGGTGGTAAATATTTTGTTATTAGCCATAAAACTATTTGTAGCCCATAAAAAATGCGATATTTAATGTGTTATTGACTGACCATCTACACTGGTACATGTGACACTTTTTGGGTATTCAAATTCAATTATATTCAAGTTAGGAATTTAGAGCCTGATGGCATGATTTTGTTCTTGGATAAATGTGGTAGTGTGGGCGATTGCACAATAGATATAAGTGGAAACAATTGTTTTTGACTGATCTCGTAAAAACGCAATAACCTCCACGAGAGAGATTTCACCAAAGTCTTCAGTTGGTTCCGCAAAACGAGAGCGAAGCGCACTCTAGTTCTGTTTATATGTATAGCTCGGGCACTACAGAGCCAGGCCACGCAAGGATATTGAGATCGACACGCAACATTTAAAGTCGGGCGATAAAATATAGCTAAATACATAATTGGGAAGCGATTCCGACAAGCCACATTGGGTGTTATTCTGTAGTCGTGAATGTTCGCTTTTGACTAATTCATTGCTCATATTATTCATCCACGACTTTCGCAAATTAAAAAAAAAAAAAAAAAAAGAAGCCAAATGTAGCACGGTGTGGTGGGCTGGGATCTATTAGCGTTTCATACTTAACAAGAGAGCTATGCTCAAATATATGGACACGTAGAGTCACATAATTTTGATGACGTTATAGCGAAAAAAAAAGTAATAGCCTTCTGGAGAAAATATTTATCTTTGACCACTGAAAATTTCAAAGCAATTGGTCCAGTATTCGAGGAGAAAAGCGACTTTTTAAAAACGTATCAAAGAACAAGAACAACAACAACATAATATTGAAACGATCGTTATGTCCACTACGTGTCCAATAATTAGAAACGAATCAATACCAGGCGAATATGCAAGAAAAAATGATTGATTTCTGTCAAATACCATAAGAATTTCATTACGCACCACGGAAAGTTGGAAGTCTATCGTCAAAACGAGAGAGCCTTCAATTGACCCCGCAGAAATTAGAGAGAAGCAGACTACCTCTGTACATATATCTGTGATATCAGCGGATCTCTTGCTTAGCGAAGGTGGCAAGATTTTCATGGGGAACCGTAGAATGCGGAAGTGACTCGGATCAGTTGATAATTTAATTCACGTTGAAACTGAATGATGAAGAATGAATCATCGCCACAGGACCTGGGAAAGCTATGATAGTCTCTGTAGTCCTGTGTAGTTGAGTTGTCCGCCTCCCGATAAGTTACCGCATATGATTTTTGGGTAAATTGATGATAAAATAGTTAGTTTCGCCCTCCGTGTCCACATATTTGAGCATAGCTCTCTTGTTATTGTTGTACTGTTAGAATTGTTCTTCCTATCGTTATGAAAAAATCGCCCTTTTCCCTCAAATACTGTACCAATTGCTTTGAATTGTTCAATGGTTAAAGATTGTATTTTTTGCTAGAATGGTATCACTTTTATTTATTTCAAATATTTATGTGAGCTCTATGGGATTCGTTTTTTTGCGTGCTATGACGTCATCAAAATTTGTGGCGATTCCGGGACCGTGCACAGCGACCGCCGGCGGATCTCGTGCTTAGCGAAAGTAGGAGGATTTTTACAGGGAACGGTAGACTGCGGTACATGATCTGGCCATACAAAAGCGACTCGGATCAGTTGGTATTTCGATTCGCGTTGAAAAATGAATCATGAAGAATGGATCATCGTCACAGGACCTTGGAAAGCTATGATAGTCCCTGTACCGTTACCCTGGGCAGTAAAGCTGTCAGTCTCCCGATACAACTGCTGGTAAGTCACCGCATAAAATTTTCGGGAAATTGATGATAAAATATTTAGTCCGATACGGCTACCGCGAATGATTTTCGGGGAATTGTTGATAAAATATTTAGTTTTGATCCCCGTGTCAACCTTTTGGTTTGGCTCTCTTGTTATTGAAACACAACGAAAATGTCACAAAAGTGGTTTACTTCTATCTATTATTTCCATTTATACAATTTTTTTTTGAGAATTTCTTTTGAAGGAGGTTTGTTTACAAAGTTACGGTTAGTCAGTTTTTAATTTTTAACGCTGCCCTCTAATATAAATAGCTGGATAGGAAGTGCGCTGTCGTCTAGGACCTAATCACGATGATCACACCAGATCTCCGAGTTAAGCAACGTCTTGCTTGGTGACCTTGGTCTGTGCTTGCATGGGTCATTGGGTGTAGTAAGGCAGGCTATTATTTGCAAACCATAATAATGAAACCAGCAATTACAAGATTTTGCAAACGCAGCCTAAATTCGGTTAGGTACCTTCCTGATTAAAATTTGAATGAATAATTGTTAAAAGTGAGGCCACAGATTGATGCATGACAACGAATTCCAAATTATTATACTTATTTCAATGTATTTAATGCTATTTTCAATGTATAATTTATTCCACATAAGCAGCAAAAATGAACCTACTTAACATTTTTGATTTGCAAAATATTACAAAACAAAAATTGTGCAAAAACATGTTTATTTTGCTGTAGATATCATTACAATACTTTTGATACTGCCCCACTGTTCCCCATACTTCACCTATTTAACAATGAAAAAAAATTGCACTAACAATTAATAATAAAGTTCTGGAAATGAATCTTGAAAATTAGAGAACACCACGATGATATATATAGTTATGAGAAGGATCAAAATTAAAAAGATATTCATACTCTTTTGCGGAGTGACATTATAGACCGAATGGAAGGAATTTTTTGTACTCCGGTAGTGTGTGTACCAGGTTAGGATTAGGCCATAATTTTATTCCGATTTTCCTTTTTTTAGTTATATTAGTACGTGATCGGGAACTGTCTGTGTTAGCCAAATGAATGCCCCTGCCATAGGTTTCCGTCCCTTTACACAACTTGATGTGAAGTAGCCGTACAAAATTAGTCACCTCCATATTGGTACATACACACTTCTGAAGGGCCGAATTTTTAACTTAGTCAGAATATCTATTGGGCCTTACACTCAAAATTAATTAGAATTCATAAGGTATAGAAATTAAAATTTGTGAACTGATTCAAAACTACCACTATGAGAGCAAAATCACATTTATGAGAAAAAAAATGAAATTTTGCCACCAGATTGTGCTCCTGCAAATAAAAAATGGATGATTAATTAATCAAATAAAAAAATGATACAACTTTGTTTATGTTAAATAAAACACACGCAAGAGAGTGTGCATCCTTTTATCATATGAGTTCAAATACATATACAGGTATCAGGTGGGGCACCAGTTCGCGAACTGATTAGTACTATGAAGAGGAATAAAGGCACACACAATTGCTCCACGAGGCCAGTCTGGTTATTGAGCTGCAAGTTGCATACCCCTGATTTAACATATAGTGAGGAGTCACAGTTGAAAGATGCCAACAAATAATAGTCGCAAACACAGAAATAACAGAGTTTTTACAATATTTGCTATGTTCTCAAATCGTACTGCTATTTGCAAAAATTACATATATGGATCATCCCGAAGTAGTAAAGGTCACCAACATGCTTGCTTGGTTTAACATAAAGCAAAAGGCATCAAAAGCTATACTTCAACAAAAGAGGAGACTATTGATGACAGATCACCCAAATAGATATTTTGTATAATTGAATAAAAGTATATAAATATACAAACAGATTACACAGAAAATAGAGAAAATATTTATTTATATGTAAGACTGGGAGTGCAAGCGTAACACATGGCATAAAAAAATCATTAAGAAAACAAAAAATGGATGTCTAGCAGAAAAATTTTCACATTTGAAAATGAAAGAAGAAATTACTAAATAAAGAAATAATTACACAGAAATCTTTATCACGTTCCGACAGACAGTCCATTGTTTTAAGTTTAAATTGGAAGGAAGTTTAATAGAACGGCCGTTTTAGAGTATGATTTTAAACCATTTTAGTACTGTTCATCTCAGATTCACAAATTTAAATTTTCACACAAATTAATAAAATGCCATATTCCATATCAAACAAAATACAAGAAATGTTTTGACAACTCTTCACAATTGATGAGCTCAATAGCAATACTGTACTGTATGTCTGACATGACCTAGCTATTCCCCAGCACCCTGTCCGAGCGGAGGATAATATGGTTCTTCTCTTGATGGTGGAGGAGGGATAGGAACCCCATCCAGGCCGTTTACACCCTCTTGTTGAGCAAGCTCCACCTGCAAAACAATACAGAAAACAAAGTGCTAATTTAAAACAAAATTCTATAATTTAAATCAATTCTAGGCTATTCTGCAGATTATCCGCTTTCTCAATTCACTGTTACCTAGACATTTTAGTGAATAACATCTGATTTAAAATATAAATAAATTTGAATGATTAAAATTTAAATAATCATACCAAGCCATGATCTTCAGGGGTATCTGCGGCAGCGGCGGCAAGATTTGTGATGGATTTACTTTTAATAACACATTGAAAATCGACATGTCTTGACTTGCTTTCTTCTTTCTCCCATGACAAGCTGATAAAGGAGCGTTGGACGTAATTATATATAACTTCCTGGCGTCCTCCACTTCTTCTTTTCACTTTTTCCATGAATGTAGGATATCCTAAAAAAAATTATAGTCAGTAGTGACAAGGCAAATTCAAATTCCACAATCAAGTCAACTATCTGACATGAACTGGAGGGGCTATGACTTGCCATATGATTATACAGTCTTATTATTACTTTTCCTTTCCCCCAGGATAAATATGAAAATCCTATCCTATACAGTTAGCAAGTTTGAATTGAATATGAATGAACACAACATTCCCAAATGCGCTAACACAGAAATATATGTTTGAACTTAAAACACCTTCAATTCCAAGTCTTATCTTCTTCAGTCCTCTGTCTTTTAAAACTGCTTTCGCAACCTCACGATTTTCAATATAGCGGAAAAATCTGAAAAAAAGAAGAAGAAATAGGTTACAACTCACTAATGAAACCTTCCAGGAATATTACAAGAAAAGAAATAAAACTAATGGCACATCAGGACATATTCATGATTCAGTTCTGTTAGTATTTTTCAGTTACAAAATGGTACAGTCTAGGAAGCATGTTGTAATATTGATCTTGCTAAAATACTTCAACAAATAAAAGCATTTTGCAAGACTTTGTATGCCATTTGATTTTATCTGCATCTGTAAGGAGTTATCTAAACCTTTGAAATTTTTGGAGAATTTTTAAGTAGGCTTTTAATTTTATTCAACAATCTAATCAGATGTATAATGGCACTGTGAATCTGTGATGTATAATGGCACTGTAGATTTTCAAAGGTGAAGGGAGAATCCTTGAACAAAGCGCCAGGTGTACCATACATATGATATGCATGTAAAAATACATACTAGCACTGCTAATGGCAAATTAAAATGTAGTATAGTTTTACCTTGATAACTCTGTACTAAGAATACTTTGTGACTGCTCTTCTCCCATCTGTGGGGGATAATCAGAATCCCATTCAACATTATCATCATCGTTTAAAACAACGATATGACACTCACGTTCTCCTTTCTGAATTAGTAAAAATATAAAATGTTGTTTATATATTCGGACATCAGCTAATACTGAACTTGAACCAGTAGAAAAGATTATTGTAGAGATTTGAAGTTCCAGATTTCAATATCATTTAAATCGGTGGTTCCCAACTTTTATCCTCTTGTGGACCATTTTTAGCGTCAAAAGAAAAACTCCAAAGTATCATAAAAATTTAAACAATACGGTGAAAGTTTCAATGAGCAAACTAATCCTTGTGTCTATCTATCAGCTTGCCAGTTTGCACGTTAAAACCTTGGTTCAACCACAAGCGTAATTCTTTTCTATTTTCAATTTGTAATTAATGACATTCCCTCAGAATCTGCTGTAGGCCCAATAAAAAGTACAGGTCCATGTTGAGAAACACTGATTTAAACGAGTCCGAGAGAGTAACATGAAACAACATTAAAAGAATAGCTTTTTACAAATTTGATTACTTTTGAACTAAAATTTCTTGTATATATGCATATGAATTGCTTTCTAGGCACTAACCTCAGCACCCTGGACCATCACAGGTAAAATACTTTCTTCTAAATATTTTTCAAACTTTTGTTTTGCTCCATCGTTAGATAATTCGTGCATAAGAGCACCTAAGAATAAATAAAAGAAAACATTGATTGTCAGAAATTGAAATATGATTACAAAATCGAAGATTAAGAAGCTTTTAAAAGTTTTTAATTTATATTGCTAAATGTTTAATTGACATATTTGACAAATTAGAGCAGTGAAATGGTGGTGGCAAATGCTTGAAAATGAAATCTATAAGAAATCTTTTTAGGTAATTGATAAAACTAAGTCTAGTTCCTTTTTATATTATGCTCAATGATATAATTTTTCCTAAAAATTTTGGTATACAATTTTAGTAATAAAAAGGTCATTTTCATGTACAGTTTCAAACATGATTTAAAAACTCTGATTTCTAAAATAAAGTCCGAAATAATTGATAGTATCTCATCATGTTTTATTCAATTATATTCTATTTCACAGAGTGATATTCGTATTATTATGCTGAAACCTCATTCGGCCTTTCGACGACTCTCCCTAATTTCATTCTGTGATGTTTCAGTTCAAAATAAATTATCTACTAATTCTATCCAATATTGAAATCGAGGGACCCAATATTCGAGAAAATAATCTTTGACTCACATAGATTGTGGCATTTTATTGTGTTGTAGCTGAATGGAATGAGAAAGTAATCACAAGCACTTCGTAATTCCTTAATCGGAACACCAGGAGGGCATCGGACATATCCTTCAGTGTAATATTCCTGCAAAAATGAAAGTTTTCCAGTTGTAAATTTGAAGAAATAATATACTCAAAACATATTTGATCTGATCAAGATAAAAATTACCGGTAGATGAAAAACATCCATAATGAGGATGTAATAACCATTAATCCTAGAATATCGGTCGGAGACCGACTCTATAGTGACACCGCGTGTCCCATCACTAATTAATTAATAACTCGCTAATTATACGACATAATTCATCCAAAATCAATAGGCCTCTGATTCGAGATATGATGAATGCACATGCAAAATTTGGAGCAGATTCAACCTCGCCTTCGTGAGATATCGCGTTCATCTAACAGACAGACAAATACCTATCAACATACTTACCGATCTAAAGATCGATAAGTAATAATAATATTGTTTAAAATTACTACTAATAATACTTCTATATCTTACCAATAATGCTCTAAATACTTCTGCAGACACACCGACTGGTATTTCATATTCACCATGTTCATTTGGTTTTGTCATTCCGTGTTCTAACATCATGGAAGCACTGAACATTCTGAATGTACATTTATTTTATTTTAAACAGTTATGAGTATGACTAATTAAAAAGAAAAATTCCAAATTTTTCGTCATTCGATTCAATTTTCCTCAATTTTTTAATAACATTACTTCAACAGATTATAACATTTTCATTATGATGATCAAGTGTAGCCATTAGATTATATTAATAGATGATATTAGTAGTTATTTTCAAATACCAGATGGCTCTCTGGTAATTTTGTTATAATGGGCACTGTCCATCTAAACTTCAATTAATTGGTTGAAAGCTCTAAACATTTTATGCCAACACTTTCCCCCAAAACTTATAATATATTAAAATTGGCTCCTCTGAGATGACCAGGGTGCAGTGACTTGAATTCTAGTGGCAGCAGAAAGTGATTGCCTATGATTACACGAATGAGTAAATTTGATGCAACTTGGGTCCATATAGAGACCTTCTTTGAGTAAATACTCAAAACAAAAGTTCAGTCAAAAATAAAACAAGTTGGCTACAAGTACATTTACAACGTATCAATATTTTGAAAACATGTTAAAAAAATTTACTTAGCCAGCATTGTATCAGGTTGAGATTCGAATACTTGATGATCAACTTTGAATCTTGTGTCATCAACAACTAGTACAATGTATTTGGATTTTTCTTTCTTTTTCACTCCTGCTGCTGCACAACACATATCAAAGTATAGTAAATCTCTTTAACGTCAGCAGAACTTTGAAGATATACATATTTTTTAATTTGATCTAGGCCAGTGGTTCTCGAACTTTTTGAGTCACGCCGATGGAACGTGTATATCCAAAATTAGGCGGGGAAAAATAAAATCCAACAAATATTTTTAATTAGCTTCACGCCCCCTTTGTTGTCTATATGTGTCTATGTCTATGCCCCCCTTGTGGGACACGCCCCACCATTTGAGATCCACTGATATAGGTTATATGCTAGTATGACATGGATAGATATTGTTGTATGGCCAATGGTGATGTCAATTTTACAATAGTTAGATAAGACAAAATTGTACCCCATAAACTTGGTCCAAATAAATATGCAGAAATGTGAATTTGCCAAACCTTGTTTCTTCATAGAAATTGAAGACTTTGACATGCTTGTGTTGAATCCAGCACTTTCATTCGATGATGCTGACATCCTGATGTATTAGAAATAAAATAAGTATTACGAACAATTTTCCCAAAATACCAAACAAAATTTAAGAAGCACAAGAACAGGAATTTTTTTTACTTCAATCCAGTGCTTTTCAAACTTTTTATCTTTGTGGAACGCTTTGCTATTGGGCATATCGAGGAACCTCTATTAACAATTGTTCAAAAATACCCATAAATGTATGAGTAGAGACAAATATTTCAGTGTTGGACACTTCAACAATAACAATGAAAAGTTATCACAGATATCCAAAAGTTATCAATAATCCAAAAAACATATATTCACATAGCCACACTATTCGGGCGTGTTTGAAACTTGTGTTTCTATTTGAATAAATTAAATATTTTAATTAAATATTTGATATTTCAATTATTATTTCATATTTATATCCAATATTATATTTTCACAGCCAATTTATGAATAATATATTTTAAAATTTTCTAATATATTGTATTAGCTAACTTAAAGCAAAGTTATTTTAAGCTTATAAATATGAAATATGTAAAATACTTTTCGTCTTTCTTTGAAGCAGGTTCTAACAAATCAACACTTTGCGTATCCTGCAATGAAATAACATTATATTAAATAAGCATATAAAATATTGTAATTGGAACTGACATTCAAAGGGCAAAAGCAGTGTGATGGATTAGTGCAGGGTGGTCAATTACTATTCTAAGTGGGCCACTAACAGATAATAGACCCAGTCACTAGGTCGGTGGTTCAAAACTCAATATGAAAAATTATAAATGGAAACCTAATTAGCAGTCATGAACGCTAGTCTCAGGCGCTATTCTTGGCAGAAACAGTGAAGTTTTACAATGATATGAATAACTTGGATGGGTGAGTTTGAGGTATATGTGGCCTGTTTCGCACATTATATTCAGGTGCAGATAATACACAGGAAGTCACATTATTTATTTTAGCCAATGATATGTTATTTTTCAACAAAATTTATATCCATAAAAACTATAGTTGTGATTTCAGCGAGCACAAGTGGGCCGGATACGGTCCGCGCGCTGATCATTTCTAAATATAGCATCCCCCTACATATCAGAATGTTTTTAGAATGAATGGCATGTGAAATCACTGCATATAAATAGAGGTTTTCAAACAGCCTTGGTGGTATACCTTTTTAAAAAAAGCGATTTTTACCCAAGAAAGTGTATAATCAATATTACACAGTTCTCGTGTAATTTCCTAAATTATAGGAATCAAGTATACCTTCAATCTGCAGCTCTAATCCAGCAATAGAAACTAAAACTAGCTTTAGACAGTTTCAGTCTGATAGACGAGAACTTTTAACAGAACATTCTTCTGGCAGATCGAGTCAGGTATAACCCTATATTTACCTTCGAATTACCTCTCTTATCAGATTAATCAGAACTAAAACATTAGTAATAAAATCAACTTACTGTGACCTGTTCTATATTAGGGAACAACACAAACTCTTCACAAGAACTTCTTCTAGATGATAATGGAGACACAGCAGATAACGGTGGTGTGTCTGTTGGTGAATCTAAACAATAAATATAAAAATTGATTGTAGAGAATGTTGCTTGGCTAATGATTATAAGAAAGAAAACTCTTGGGAAATCAAATTCAACCTTCGCTCAAAAATAAAATGACATTTGCGGGTGCTAGTTAGGCTTAGTGAAATACATTAACGAAAGGAGAATAAATTGAAGAATTATTTCAAATTTTGACATTTCATGTCTTTAACTCAAAAGGATGAAACTTGAAAAAATGTTGTGAAAAAATAAGGAAAACATATATTTTTCATTTTTGAACTTTTGTTGAAATAAGTACTTTGGTGTATATTGCTTCAAACTTTGATTAGAAAATTAGTTTGAATATCATTTATTCCGTTGTAATTTTTTCAAATGAATTTTTTTCAAAATTTCAACACTTGCCCCTTTGTCTTGAAACTCTAAACTGTTTCCAAAACTAAAACATTAAACAATTATTAGGCAAGTATTAGCAGTGGGAAATAGGTATTCAAATCAATTTACATGCAAAGAATATTTTTTTATTATAATATTCACCATACCTTCCCTATCCTTGCTATGTTCCCTATTATGTTTGTTTCTAAGGCACGACGTGCGGTTTGGTCTTGGAGACGGGGAACCCTCACTGTTCGAGCTTTTCTTTAGTGAACCATGGAGTGGCATTTTCTCATGGCTGTACAGTATGAATGGTGAACTCCAATGACGGATTCAATTTATTGCTATAAAGTATGAATGGTGAACTCCAATGACGGATTCGATTTATTTTAACAGAGTGATTAAAAGAATCACTGTTTTACAGCATTAATTAAAAAGATTCTAAAATGTAAGAAAGGCAGTTTAGTTTTCAAAGTATGATTGCAAACAGAAAATGTTCCTTAACAACAATTTCTCATCTTTTTGTAAATCTGTACAGTTTGACATATTCTGTCACATGATCACAATAAATAGAGACATATCAAATCACTGAAGTCCAGCATATCGATGCCAATCGATTTTAGAACTTGACACTTTTAATAATAGCTTGCAAATATATTAATACATCCTTGCAGATTTATTGGAACATGACCATTTATGTGTGCTTCAGAAATAAAGAGTTGGGTTTATTACAGCCAGTGAAAATGTTATTTGTGATTCTAAACAATATTCAGATATGGTACATGAGCCACTAAAAATTGCAACTTATCAACAATATTGGAAATATGAGAAAAACATTGTTTTGATCGATTCTTACTGTAATTCCAATAAGTTAGCCTGTTTTGGTCTTTCGTCATCAGATGTACATCAAGAGTTGAAAATAACAATTTTCCAACTGATAATAGTCAAAAAAAAATTCCTAATTTTTTTAAACCTGACATAACTAATTTCAAATTTTTGATACATATCAGTTACACATGGTTTACATCTATAGTACCTTTATGCCACAATGCATTTCAGCATTGAGTGCTGACAAGAAGGCATCAACTTACACAAATTCTCTTCCTTCCAGTTCAACTATTACTACTGATATCAATGAATGGCAAGACTGCAATATCTAACTATGGTACCCATAATAACAAATTCATATCAGTTCATTAATACACGAAAGTATTAGCGTCTCATGGGCAGAAGAAATTTGAAAGTTTCTTTGCTATTCTGGCCAGTTGCAGAATCCTCTGAACAAAAACATTTTTCCAAGAAAGCCTATCATCTTCTTAATCTCATGAAGAATGCATGAGTACATTCCTCAGTATCGATTGGATAATACTTATCATAGAAATCAGAAATGAATTTTTCAGGTTTGAACCCAAATTTTTGATAAAGTAACATGGCTGAATTTGATGCTGACACATGGAGTGTGATTTCTTTCACTAAGCAAGTCTGTAAAAACAAAAATTATACGAACTAAAAATAGATTCAAATCAAGTGATTATATGGAATAATAACTTGAAATCTGAATCACTTGCATAAACGCATTCTAGAATATGGAATTATATCATACGGATGAATATATCACCATTGTTAATGTTCAGCAACCATGTAACGTCTATCAAACTTTAGCTAGTTTTTCACTCAGTTAGTATAGTTTATATTCCAATAAAGTGATCCATGTATAGAATGGTTAAATTTTACTACGAATTAGTGAGAAATAATAATACTTGCACAAACCTGAATAAGATGATAAGTCATAAATGTTCCAATCCCACAATGCTGCCAGTCAGGATGAACAAGCAGAAATGAAATATATGCTTCGTTGAAATTAACATCAGGCACCATGAATCCAAATCCTATCACCATTTTCCTAAACAAAAAATATGCCCATTAGGATACTGTCGAATAACTTTAAATGACGCGATGTCCTAGTGGGTAAATCAATAGACTTGGTATCGCAGAATAAACATCTTGGGTTCAAATCCAACGCCCCCACATCACCCAGAATGTGATAGTTTGGGTAGGCAATGTCGTACCATGAAGATTCCGGCCATTCCCAATAAAAGTAGCCCATTACATTACATATATCTCCCCGGATACGGTCTAGTTCGGGGTGAGAACGTAAATGAGCATTGACTCAAAAAAAAAAAGTCAAATACCTATTTACGAGTGCAATTGAGCGACAAAAAGTAACTCAGTTTGGTCAAACAGAAAACAAAAAATAAACTAGAACCCTCGTACTAACATCCTAAAAACAATAGCACAAACCCCTAAAACTTACTTATAGGAAGCAACTATGCTAAAATCAGGATATTGCAACGTTTCTGAAACATCTATTCCAGGCCAGAAAAAATGATGACACATTGAATTTATTGTAGGAATATGGTGAGGTCCGACATAACAGTAATCAATTGGTGCAGGCGTTTCTGTGTTGGACTGCTTTAATTTTCTAGAAAATGATAATGGGAAGAGGTGAAAACAATAAAAACATTTCGGAACAACTTTCATGGGTTAGTTGCGCAATGTGTTATCATATTATACATAAAACTAGATATAAGTTATAGGTACTATAGCATTATGGATGATGTTGAGTATGGACGAGTAAAATGAAACATTTATCATAAGTATTTTATTACAAATCGTACAAACATGCCAAAAGCACTTGGTTTTCAAAAAACAGACTTCCAAATCCCAATACCATACAATTTTACTTGTTAGCTGGCTATCACAAGCATTTAGTCATTCACTGAACATTCAGTACATAAAATAAGAAAAGAGAAAATAGAAACTCTAGTAACAAGAAAACTTACTCATTGTATTTAGCAACTAATTCTTCCATCAGTGCTAACTTAGGTGGCTTTGATTCGTAATCTCTTCTGATGTATGGCTTTAAAACTCTGAAATACAATAGCAAGGATTTTGCGAGGCGTTATCCCATCATTCCGTGAAAGGCTCTGTATAAGAAGCTACTTATTGTAGAAGAAGCTAATATTATGAAAAAAATGAAATCTTTCCAGTTTGGCACTGCCTATTACTATTAGAACCCTTAAATACCAACGCAGATAGATTAAGAGTTAACCATTAGGCCATCAAACCCAAAAATTTGACATAAATCGTAATTTAAGTTGATAAACCTTTATTTATGAAAAAAATTGATTATTTATTCAATCTTTAACGTCTATATAAAAAATGTCATCAACTTCTCAATTCATGTGATAACATACCTTTGTGTATAAGGACTAACAATTGGTTGCAGAACTTCATCACAACCTATCAACTTCTGACGAAATGTTCTTTTTTGATGAACTTCAGAATTGATAATTGTACCTGACATCTGAAAAGCATACTTGATTAAATACCTCGGGATTATTTTTTTCGGTTTTTGATTTTGGGAAAATTAGCGAAGATCAACTTATTTAATAAGATACAAATGAGTACCGTAGCTTATGCAAGTGTTCAAAATTTTCCTGCTATTGCCGATGCTGTTCAGTTCATTGAAAGTTTGTTTGGTGCTTAATTACATGAAATCTGTGCCATATAAGGCACAAAAATTGATCCAGCAGAATACAAAGACTGAGTCAAGATGGGAATTCATATTCACCCACCTAGGGGAAGGAAGCGATAAGACTGCTTAATCATATAGCGAACCAGGGCCTCTCCTCCGGTTAGCAGTCCATGTCGGGTTTGGGATTAGTTATCCAAATATTTGTTTCAGATGCATGGACTTGAAGTTGGAAGTTGGTAACCAGCAGTTCCGAGTTATTTGTCCCAGATGAATAAACTCGAAGGTGAAGGAAGCTGTAACGGACCAGCAGTTATGTGAACCATCCTACGACAGCGAAGAGTCCAATATTCCTCTCGCACATAATTATCCCTACACAAGATGTGAACCAGCAAATAAAAATCTAATGTCCTATGGCAAGCATATTCCTAATGCTTAGCATGATGTGCAATACCGCTGAGATCACTAATATTGAGATAATACATACCTGGAATCTATCTAAAATCCTGTGATGGGGAGAGGATAACATTGTGTTAGGTACAATACCAACTGCATAACCAATTGGGGTCGTTTTATTTTCTTCTGGTAATTTTATTCCTTGTTTTTGAGCGACTAAACGATGAACAGTGGCATCAAAGCTCACAATAGGGATGTTGAGTTCTCTTTTTTTCTTGATATAAAAAATCATATAGATACAACCATAAAACTGATATACCATAAAAGGAACTGACTGAGGTGGTAACCCCCAAGTCAAAGTTTCATGTTAACAGCATCAAATATACCAGGTAAAATTCATCACATTGGAAGATTTTAAAATACCATCAGTAAATACTCAAATTAAGACATTAAAATTGCATCACTGACTAACATGTACCGAAAAAAACATGAAGCCTACCTGTCTAACTATGAGTTTTCTTCTCAATCTATAAGCTTCAGGAAGTTCTTTTAACAATGAGCCATAGGATTCGAGTATCTTTAATAATTCTCGTTCTTCATACAAACTCATTTCCTGCAATCTGGAAAAGTAGGATTCTATAAAGTTGAATACTAACTTTTCTTGAAAGACATAGCATACAATTAGTAAATTTGTGTTACCAGTGGAGACCAGATTGTTAAAATGAAAGCTGTAGAAAATAATTAAAGATAATATACCATGCAATTGTGACAAGGCATGTCCAACAATTTAATTAATTTTGGATAATTTGATAACTGTTCTTTCGCATATTTTATAATAATGTTAAGTTTGAACTACTTTCCCCACAGAAAATCAATCAATAAATGGGATTTTCAAAATAAATTGTAAAGCACAATTATAATTATATTCTAAATCAGTGTTCACTATTAGCGCACTTTTTTGCGAAAAATGCGAAGCACTTTCGCAACTTTTTTTGGGGACTGCGAAATAGCACTTTTTTCGATTTTGAAGGTCAAAAATCCAAAGTTGACAAATGTTTTTGTGCAAGTATGAAGTTGACAAATAAGTTGCGTACTAGTACCTTTTTAACACAATTTTGCATTACATAATGATATTTGCTCGAATTCTAACCTATGTGGTGCAGACGTGGAAGATAAAGCTTTTGCAGTAACGGCAAAATTCTTGTTTATAATATGATTATTATACAAGCACACCGATTCCGCTTCTCCGACAAAAAGGCTCGGCGGCCCTATTTGTAAACAGATGTTGGAATACTAGGCAGAGCGTTTCTTTGAACAAGAGTGGTCATGTGACTATCAATGATATCGATTAATTGTGAGTCTGTGACCAAAGTGCAAGATTTTCTAATTAGACGAAACTTTTAGGCAGCATCTCACAGATTTGCAAAATCATCAAATTCACAAAATACATAGGTCGTATCAAGTGCCATTTTATTGTAACCACGAATGTTAAAAGCACGTGTTATTTCCCGGAATTTTGCGATATTTAATATTATCTAGTTACTCAAGAGTCATTGATATGCGAGTAGGGGTGGGCAGAATTCAATATTTTTTCGAATCGAATATTTTTTTACAGTAGCGAATAGTCGAATAACGAATATTTTTTATACACAACAGAAGGCTAGAACATCGGCAGAAACATTAAAAAATCGGCAACAAAGCCTTTTTACTGGTTAATTCCGTTATAATCGCTAATTGTTCTTGTCACCGCGGTCGTTTTGGCGGCGATATCCAGGATTTGGTAATCTATATTCCCGCCCTTTCTCTTTTTTGCAAATATGAATTCTTGCAGGTCGGCAGACATCAAAGTTTTATATTTCGGGTTTACCCGTGCGTTCACTTCGGCAACAGCTGTTAAAGACATTATTAAAGACCCAAATTAACATTTGCATTGGCTTTAATATTTGCTTTATTATTATCGAGATTTGTAAATTTACCGTCCAAATTTTAAGCGAATGGTAATATTATTATCGATACCGTGATGCAGATATTTATTAAGACGATAATTAACTTTCTCAGCTTTTCTATGGTGTCTCGTGTCTGTATTATTTCACAGATAAACCTCACAAATCTGAGATTGTGCTAATCCTGAATGTTGATTTAAAATATTGAATAAATAATTCGGCAATAAAGGCAGAGACGAGATGACGTTAAAAAACAGCACTTCTTAAAGGCTATTTTATATACGCGACTTAATGCTAAAAAGATTGGGCTCGAGTGCTTTTGTGCCTAATAGAGGGTCAGGCGCTAATTGTAGCTAATTCCCTCAAATTCCACCTTTACCCCGGCGATAATTATTGCTAAAATGTTGCCCAGTAATTCACAATTTTATTCACGGAATTTGCAAACTCACCAGTTTCTTGACGATTTTGATAATGTCACGCCCTAATTATTACTGCAAAAAAGAATCCCCTTCTCCCGCGGCGGCGGCCAGATGTTGGAATGCGACGCAGTGCATTTCTTTGAAGGAGAGTGGTCATGTGACTATCGATGAATTGTGACCAAAGTGCACTATTTTCTAGTGCAAGTTTGACGAGGTTTGTTCCATTATTCAGAAAGTTCTGACACCCGGGGGGGTGGGCGATATAGAATACTGAATCCGGAGGATTCGAATCGCTGCCGACTTACTGGCGATTTTCCGATTGCAACAATCTTAAAATTTTTGGAATGCGTGAAACATTCTCTATTTTGAATTAAATGACTTTTCGGGCTTAGAGTTCTCCCGGAAAATGATGTGTACCAGGACGTTAGAGTTAGACGATAGATAAAACATTAGATTAATACTTCTCATGACGCCCCGTATTCGAAAATACAAAGTTATATCACAAAATGCGTTTTCTTACATTTAAAATAAAACATTATTTGAGATTAATTTGGATCAAATTTTATCTTTCAGGACACCTGTTTTGAAAATACAAAGTTATATCACAAAATGCGTTTTGTTACATTTAAAATAAAACATTTTTGCGATTAATTAATTTAGATCATATTTTACTTTTCAAGACACCCTGTTTCCGAAAATACAAAGTTATATCGCGAAAAATGTGTTTTGTCACATTTAAAATTAAACATTTTTGCGATTAATTAATTTAGATCATACAAAAATATAAACTTGGATATGGCTATGAGATAACTTCTCTGGTTAAAAGTGCTGAAAAATTACTTGATACGAAAACTAGTCCTAATGAGTTTCAGATCACTTGTGAACCAGGGCTTCTAGAAGTATGACCAAAGGTTTCTTAGTGGATAAGGAATGATTTCTTATGTTTCTTCTATATAGTATTGTGTTAATTTCTAATAATATATTTATTATCTTTCAGGGCTGAGGGCTACTCATCTAAAATAACACAGAAATTTATCAAAACTTATTTTATAAAAATACAATATAAGTAGGGCTGTCCAAGCGAACCGAATAATCGAAATCGAATCAAATCGCAAATTATTGAAGTGTTTTTCGGCCAATTTACGAATCGCTAAAATTTGGTACATAATGTGCCTCATGACCACCTTTGCACCACGTTTTTCACAAGCAAGCAAAATCATGTTTCTATAGCTTTTTTTGCTGTAAAAAGGTCTCTCCTATTGCCCGGTGACATGCAGGTGACATGCAATTATCCATTTCATGCATAGTCATAAATGAAAAGTTATCGGTAACAATGATTTGAAGATGACGTTTTTTTGGGAGAACACAAGGAGAAAATAGAATCGATTTGTAGCTGTTGAGTCAGTTATCATAGGAACATGGTACAGGACTAAAACAGGTTTTGGAGGTCCAATATCTTTTTCCAATAGAATTTGAAATTTCTTCTAATGGCAATACTTTGTTTCATCCATTTATTACTATGACAAATAATTACTTGTGAGTTGATGGCTGTTGTAGGGGAAGGTGGGGCACGTTGGGACATGGGGCACAGTGGAAAATCAGCTCTCACACTGATACTATATCCGCAATCCTGTCCGCGGTTCGATGTTTCAATCCGCTCTTCGGTGAGTTACAACGTCCCCGCGAACGGACAACGGACGGGTAGAGCGGCGCAAGCTATGAGGTGAAATTGGTTTTGGGAGGTTGAAACTAAAATTTCACCGTTCCAGTTTTTTCTTTTTTCTACTTTAGACTTCCCAACATGACAAACCACCGTCTGATATTTTTCAGTGGGATGGTCTGAAAATATTTGTTTCCTATGGGGAACAATGGTTCAGTGGGACATGCCCTACAGGGCACAATTCGACAGTGTTTGATACAATAAGTGCTTAGAGACCTAGAGATGCGTTATACTTTGTGTAATATTATGGTTTCTTCCGACCCATGGCCCAATATGGAATATATTCGAGAATCAATAATATTTTCAGATTTAGATTCGAGAAAAGAAATAATCAAATTTGTTTGCGAATTTTTTTGTCAAAATATCTGAACTATTTCAGTTGAACATTGATATTGAAAATATTAAAGCTTCAAATTTAAAGTCTCCATGTTCTTTAGACGATTATTCTGATTAATTGCTTATTTTTAAAGGCATACTTCGTTGAATTTTGACAGACTGACCCATTGTGCCCCAGGGTCTGTCCGAATGTGCGCCACAAGTGGGGTACAGTGGGACACTTGACAGACGTTTTCCAAAGCATTTTGGTAGTAAGACGTGTGTCGCAAAGGAATTTCTTAGTCGCTGAATAAAAACTACATTTACCCCTCTATGCATTAGTCCCGCCAGCTTAAGTGAATATGCAGAATTAACGGCACAAAATATGCAAAAGAAAAAAAGTGTCCCAACCTTCCCCTACAGCAACAATATGGTCATCAAATATTAATGTCATCAAACTAGCTATAAATTTGCGAGTTCCCGAAATGCAATTTTGAATTTTTTGGGCAACAGTTATATCTATATTAATAGTTGTTTATCATTTTACTGAAAATTACACAAAAAATATTGAGTTAATACTAATGATAATAGGACTAAAATAGCAACTACGAGCATTAAAAGAGTCAATGTGCAATTTCCAACTCTTAAAACTTGATAGTTTTCGAAACCCCTTTTATTTGACCAGTTCAAGGAGGCTTGTGATCTCCTTTTATAACTCTGGAAGCATAGTTATGCACAATATTTGCAATAATTTAAATATAACTGCACATACGGTACGTTATCACAATATTGAAGAGGAAGTTTTTATTGTACATTAGAGACAAATTTAGGATTGCGCAATAATATTCGATTATTCGGTTCGATTCGAATCAAAAAAATATTCGATTTTGGACAGCCCTAAATATAAGCAATATACTTTGGTACATCTGAAGTTGTCTTTTTCACAGCACCAACAGTGATGAACTTTCTTTTCGATACAGCTGAAAACGCAGATTGTATATTGGATAAATCATATTCAGTTGAATGCTGACAAGTGGAAAAAGCTGGAAATAAAAAATTTGCAAATATGAATGATTAATAATAATTATTTGATATTTAAGAATATTTTCTTCAAATGCTCTCAGAATATTTAATAATTTAAGTTACATATTCTTTATTATTTTCAGTTCAAAGCGTTTTAGTTTATAACAATTAGTAGGCTATATATATATCAGTGGTTTTCAACCTTTTTGATAGAGAGGTGCTCGAATAGAACAACTCAGAGGCTCAAAGAACCTCTGTGATATAGTTTTTGTCTTATCAATGATGTTTTATCACAAGTCTATCAATAGCCTTACAAAGCTAAAAGCAGAATTGTATGAATATATACAGATGAAAATCTAATAGGCCTACTAGCAAAACAAAATTATCTTCAAAGAGTAGCAAGTTTATTAATAGTGGCAAGTATTTAATTATATTTTACCACTATAAATATAGTAATATGAACTCTCAGATTTGAATGGAAACTAGCAAGAACCCTGGTTGAAAACCACTGATTTATACAGTTATCAATGACGCATCAGCTTTAGAGAAGAACAATCCTCAGCGTGAGCACATACCCAACATGTTCTGTGGGATTTTATACCATGGGTTAACTAGAAAAATATTGCCCATTCATAAATGTGATAATATTAAACTTACAATCCAAAAGAATTGGATTATCATTAACTTCTGTGTTAGGAGATGACGGTTGTGGTGTAGATGTTGCTGAAGATGCTAAAATCCACAAAATAGAAAAAAAATTAAGAGAAACAAAGTACTGTCTTCCAATGAACCCATGGGATGGATCATTTACGAACACTATCGCATGTTTGTAATATAACATTATTTTAAACAATTATGGATACATATATCAGAATTTCGGTCTATTAAAGGACCTATAATTTCAATTAACTTTCAAGGCTTACCTGGCAAAGGTGTAAAATATTTCTCTGGTGTTTCCGGTCTTTTATTTTTAGTTTTATCCAATTCTAGATCAGAATCATCGCTTAATATTGACAAAGGCAAAGTATTATCAGGCATTATATCACCTTTGGAAAGCATACTTGTCACCTGAAATGTATATGAAATTTTTCCATAACATACCTAGTTTCAAGGTTTTAAAAATAAAATGAGAAAAACATATTGATCTGCATCAAATTCCAACCATACAGAAGACATGCTGTGAAACATGCTAGGCAAGTGAGACAATATGTTTTTTTAAATGGCTTAGAATTTGGATTCAGAGTCGGGCATAATTTTCCCCATTGAACAACCCTGCAGCCGCAGGTAACTTAACTAAACGTTGTTTCAATATAAATTGAACTAATACATATTATATAAAAATACTTACAGATAATGATCTTGGACTACTGAGGGGAGATGATAATGGACTTCCACATCCTTTGAATGATGGAGGAGAATCTTCTGGAACTGGTGATGAATTCTTCTTACTTTCATCTACATCTTCAATTTTACCGGATTTTGCAGGAGTCTTTTATTGAGAAATAGAGTAAAATTGGAACAATTTAAAAAAATATTGGTTTGATAATATAAAAGTTAAATAATGGGGTATACAATATTTTAAAAGAGGGATTTGATAATTATAACAATTCACACTTTTAATCCATTTTGACAAAAAAATCAAATATTATTATTTTTGATGTATAATCAAGCAAACTAATTTACTTTCAATCTAGGTCAAAGACTGCATATTCAAACAATTCCATGCTATACCTTGTACAACTCTATCGATATCAAATGATTATTAAATACTGCAACAACATATATTTCACCAATACTTTTTTCTTATTCCTCACAAATACATTTGGTCATCCTAGAAACCACTACTTGCAACCAATTAGTAAAACAATACCATTAAAATATTTTGCATGCACATTAAAAATGAAAAAAAAAAATCATATAATAACAAAAAACATGCAAAAATAAGCAATATTTGAAGTTAAAAAAGTATCAAGAGCTGGTATCTTACAATTGAAATAAAAAATTTGAATTTAAGTTTTGTTACAAAAAAAGAGGTACAGCTCCAAACCACCCAGCAACAATAGCCAAACATTAATTTTTAACAAAGTAGAATTTTCTTTTTGACCAATTTCCAAGATAGGAAACAATGATTGCCATGTGGCAATTGTTTTATTTTTACTTATTTATTAACAATCATCATACTTTAGTATTGGACAAAGAGTGTTGCAAAATTTGAAATTCCGATTGCCCAAGCTAACATTTAATACACTTGCTAACTCCCCTCAACGAAATACAATTCTGAATATAACTATTGTTCACCTCGCTAGGTTAAACACCAAGTGCTGACTAAAGATTGAATTGTAGATTGTTTGACTAAACTCTAATAGTTAGGTTTTAAAACTCAAAATCACTGGCATGGTGTTAGAATATCAGCAAATTAGCAATAAAGCCAAAAAAGCAAAATTTGTTAATTTGACTTCGAACCTTTGAAGTCTGCATCGTTTCGTTACATATTTGTGAAGATGTTGAATCACACGAAGTATCAGACTTCAAACAATCTTTAAGAAACTCAATCTTCCGAATTTCCTCATTATTCTATGATATAGGATTAACCAAGTCAAATATTTATTCCTTATCAAGATATTGATAAAACGTTTCCGCAATTACCTAATGCCTTGTAGTACACGAACTTATTATTAACACATTCTATTGCAGTTCTAATCAACCTTTTCAAAGTGGTACACCCTTCCCCTTTTGATACATCCTACCCATTCTACATTTTTAATTAGTCCAAAAAAATGTTTAGAAAATATACATATCATTAATGTAACCACATCCTCATTAATTGAATGTCAATTTTATCGTTTTTATGAGAGCAGAAAACCATCATTTGGGAAGGGATTCTGACGAGAATGAAAACAGTTTTTTGTGCAAGACTGCGCTACTCTGGAACTTCTAGTTGTGTCATCCAGAATTCGTTGTCGTTTTTAAATGATTTGAACTCTGCCTTTCGTACCAAATCTGATCGTAATTCAAAAAGTCAACCAGAAGTAATTCCAATAATACCAATAGAATTGCATAATATGCTAAGCATACTATGTTATTATCCTCAAGCATATTATGCAAGTAAAATTCAAAACAAATTTCATTTCCTTATTAAGTTAATCTGTTCAAACAATTTACAGTTCATACGAGTACTGTTGAGAATGAATCTATGGGTTACAGAATTTTATTTTCTATAAATAGCTTACATTCAAAATTAGCCCATCAAGTATTAGTGTATAGTGTACACCTGGTTAATGAGTGGTTTTAGCTGGTGTATCTCAGATAACATATTTCAAACTCATCAGGCATAGCTAAAATTAATGCAGTGTAACAATTTTCGATAATTTCTGTTATGTTTCACTTCTCTATAAGTATTTGGTCCATGAGAGAGTAAACATGATCACACATAATGATTAAATAGATTTTTGAGAAATGAATGGAGTTCGAACTACAGAAAAAAGTCGAAAGAATTATGGCGAGGCTACAGATGCTAGCAACTACTAGGGATGGGACGAGTCCGGCATTACAGAGATTCGACGAATCCGAGTAATAGGTCAAGGAATCGAATCCTCCGAGTCCATGACGTCACAATGTAAAAGTAGAAAAACACGTTTTTGACCATACTGCGGCATTGCGCGTTCACAAACATACGTCGTAGCTCATATTTTTTGCCTAATGGTTCCGCAGATAGCTGTTGAATCAATTTAAAAATATATTTTTCTTCTTTTTTGGCTGCCATAATACAAACGTAAAAGTGGGTCAATGTTCTCCAATGTGTAGAGAGATGCCACTCGTCGTCAATACAATGCTTGCAATTTAGTTGTTCATGTGAACGTTCGTCGTCGTTTTTATTACGAGTGTTTACAATATACAGGAGTGATATTGTTAAATATCTAACCTTGAATTTCAACTATTTAAGATAGGTAGTGAGATTCATAGGGGTAAAAGTACAAACATAGGCCTAAATTAGTAAAAAAAGAATTTATTATAGACTCGGTAAAAACGACGTGGACTCAAAATCGAATCCGTAAAATGCCCGGATTCGACTCGAATCCAGATCCGAATCCCGGCCCATCCCTAGCAACTACCAGTTTGCATGAGACTAGAAGCAGCGTTGCTTGAAAACAGGTCACTGAGGTCACATTTCATATATCGAGGATTTTAAGACAAAAGGTTGAATGTCCAAACTCCGGTAAAACTTTATTAAAAAATGATACTTGCAAAAGTTTGAAAATGTAGGTTTTCCTCATTTTCTAAAAACAGATATTCAAGTTTTATCCTTCTGGGTTAAAGCCTTAGATATGTTCTATTCATTACACTTTTTATTTTGTGCATGGGTGTATTTAAACAACTACAGTAGCCATGGCCACACTCATAGATGGGTCACGAGACATGATGTTCATGTTACTGTGTTTGTTGTGAGTCAAGATTATTCTTCAGTTTATGACACTGATGTCTTAACAAATTTTGAAAACTTGAAAAAAAAATTCATGTGCTATTGGGAAATGATATCATGTATAAAATCATGCAAGTATGAAGAATAATTTAAAACTATAATTAAAAAGTAAACACCTAGCACTAGTTTTGAAAACTTTAAATGGCTTTGCAGGATGTGAATATGATCACACAACTTTCAAAATGTTAATCATTTTCATTAAATGTAAAGAACATTAAAATTGATGAATGTTCATGATTGATTATAATTTGTGAGTTACTTACAAGACCATGAAATTAGAGGAGTCCCTGTGCTTATACATTTTAAATCTGAAAAACTGATTCACTAAATTTGTTTTTACATTCCTAAACTTTTCAAATTCAAGTTTAAACTTGGTACATACATCATTTTTGAATATGATCATAACCACATCAATCAAACAAGCACATGCTATCAAACAGTTTAAACACTGTAACCTAGTTACTGTAGTTACTTTTTTTGTAATTTACGTAGATAATCAGAAGCCATGACAGTAAGCATGCATAGGACATAGAATTGAGAAAGGTGAACTGGAGCACAATAACACACATTCTAAAATCGGACTCCTCTTAGAAAGTAGTTCAAAATAATTTAATTTAGTGAGAATGGTTGTCTGAAAAAAGCTTTGTTCGGAGCGAAAGTGTGGAATAATATTCCAAAATAATCAGAATTTTTCATGGAAAACTAGTTGTTACTGAGTATATTGAAGCATTTTGTCTCAATTTCACTTTAAACTAATTTCTGGAATACCCAACTATTTGTATATGAGAATCTTTTGATACTACTACAAATTTCTGAAATCAGATGTAACCTCATGAAAAGATATTTTCATGGATAACGCCAAAACAAATATAGACTCCGCCCACTTTGACTACTTGCTAACCGTCAAGAGCAAATAAAAGATAGCTAAAACAGCATCATTTTTGCTTTCAACATCTGACATAGTTCATGAATTTACTGAATACTTTATTTAAAATCCTACTCTGTTTTACTGAAACATTATTTTATATTTTCAATGTTCAGCTCTGCGCATTTACCTGTGTTTTAGCTCGTTTCTCTTTAATTTGTGAGGCGTTGAACGCAGATGACAAATAAGATCTTTTTCTTAATCCTTCTGTTCGTCCTAGACTGGGTGAAGGAGTCATTGCTGATCCAGATTTAAATTTTTTTGATCTTCCTTCTAAAGTAAACAATAATAAACAAATGATTTGATAAACATTGGCTAACCTTATTAAATATATCACACAGTCAATCAATAAATCAGTCAGTAATTGAAATAAGTAAAAGTGCTGTTCTATAAAAAAAAAAAGTTCTAAAAGCTCTGTGCAATTCTATATCAATAAAAAATATTATAATTGGATTGGCAAAATTAAATCAACAAATTATTATATTACAGAATATATTGGTCTTCTTCTAACCTCAGTGCTGTTTTAACTACAAAGCAAGACTTTGTTGAATAAAACAAAGAGAAAATAGCAAATAGCAGTATGGTACCGACAATTGTTGACAATAAAATATTATTTGAAAGAATTTGTTTGTTGACTTATGATCTGATACACGACAAAATCGATGAGCAAAAAAAAATATTAAAATACCTCTGAACCTCGAATCACTAGATGGAGTGTATTCGGGGGGTTTGGTAGGATCAGTTAGTTTCCACCATCCTGATTCCTTGAAAAATCCATATCCACTTGTAAATTGATGAGGGTTGCCAGCTGACATGGTTGATGCAATGGTATTCATCCAAGCCCCAACTTTCATCCTGCTGATAACGTGATATTACACAAAATTATTTGCAAAATCTTCTTATAAGTATCCTTGCAGAAGTATTTCAATAGGAAGTGGCACAATAGCCTATAAGCAACAGAAATATTGGTGTTGCAAATTAATTAAAGGTCATGCAGACCACCCTAAGACCACGACCTCACGGTGATGTCAAACTGGAAGGATTTCGAGCCTTCTAAAAACAGTAGCTCCTTATGTACCAGTGGCTAATTGTACAAAGTCTGCCGTAAAAAAGCTGCATAAAAACATTTATACCTGTCTTTTTACAGCTCTTCAGTTTTTTCTGTAAAATCTAATATTTTAAATGGGAATAAATTTGACAACAAAATTTATAAGGTAAACTCACTATGACTCGAACAATACATCCCAATGAGTTTCAACAAAATCACAAATATCTTCTTTCCATTTGAAAAATCCTTGTTTCCCAGGATCAGATTGGGCCATGTTAAAAAGAGAGAGTGCAGTTGCCTGGTTCCTGTCAAAATTAATTTGGTGACATAAATAATATAATAAATAGAAACTGTTTTTTTTTTTAATTTGCTAAATAATTGGATGAATGTTTTTACAAAATATCAAATGAAATTCCCATACCATGTTATTCTCATTCTAATAAAACTTTCTTTTCCATCTTCAGAACAACTTATGCATTTGAATACGTAGTAATTATCGAACAATAGAGGGGATGGTGATTCTGAACGAAGGCAGCCTGTCATAGAGAATGGAATATATTAACGAAAAATTCCAAAAGCTAACTTCTAAAGAAACACTCAAATCATTGCTCATCTCAACTTTCATGCCTTCAAGAATACATACTCATATTTGTTAAACTTTCAATTTTTTTGTTTCAAAAATACTATTTTGGGATGCATTTAAAAAAAGTTGGTCAATAAATACATTCCAAACAAATATACCCAATCTCTGTTTCTCATAAGAATATTGAACAAATATAATAACAAATCAATAACACAAATTTGCAATCTTCAAAAACATCAATTTGAATAGCATCCATATAAAACTTTTTACATAATTACCGGTATGTTATATATTTCTTCATGTTTAAGAAAAAAAAAACATTCATTTTATAATCAAAAACGGTATAAAATAAAACCCATATGTTACAACATACTTGTGTGAACCCATTTAGCACAAGAACTGCAATGAAACACAGGTAAGCCTTCTTTTTCACAATCACAATATCCACATCTTGATGAAGTTGTCTTTGTAGAAGGCTCTGCTAAGAACAAGAAATAATATAATACAAAACACAGAAATTCATACATGACATGAATGGATCAGTAAAGAAATCTGCTGGGTCATATTCATTAAATCACTGATGTAGGATACCAAGATATGAATAGTGCTTCAGCTTTATAAACATTAGCCATTGACAAGTGCAATTGGACTAAGTTGCGAGCACTCCATAACCCTACTTACAAGTGTAGGGGATCGCGTGCCATTTGCAACAATAATAAGATAGTTTTAAAAAGAAGGTGTAGGTATAACCAGCTCAATTAATAGAACATGTTTTAACATCAAGCTAAACTGAACATCAAAATTAGTTACAAAGTATTAAAAATTCCTACCAATTACTGATTGATACTAGAGGCTAGTCTGTGGCGCAGCCAGAGGGGTGCAAAAACGTAACCTCGAGTTATGTTGAACACAATTACATTAACAGGACAAGACATTTTAAATGCTCGTATCGGTTGTGAATTGAATGTATTGCGCAACGGACAAATCATAATCCGCTGAAAAAGCCAGCTTTTTATTGAGTGGCGAAATCATGATGACCGTTTTAGTTGCGTGAGAATTTCAAATTCCGATTTTGGATCCCCTAGACTCTGGCTAGGGTATGAAAACAATCGTGTAAGATTTAAATTATACAGCACAAACCTGTAGCGTCTTCTGTTGTAGTTACATCTATCTGTTCTTGGTCAGACATTGTTGCGATTTAGCCTAATGATATTAACTACATGTAGATAATAAATAATTGGAAGTGTTAAAAACATGAACTACGTGCACAGATTAACAGTGGCTAATCTACAATTGAACAAGCTCTCTCCTACAACCTTTTTTATCACCAAATCTATTAAGAAACGAGAAATTTTCAATACAAAAGGATGAACATTTTACATGGATTATTGAAAAGGGTAGTGTAAGAACTCCTAAAACTTGTGTAATAAGAATTTGAATATCAAAAAGGATTTTTGAGACCAATTTTTGGCAATAACTCAATAAGAACGGCAGTGTCATAAAACAGTGGGAAAATATCATACTGTTAGATTTCTCGAAATCAAAATTAATTGAAAGGAAGAATTCTAGATGGCAACAATATCCAAAACCAAAACACAACGCTGAGTTACCATTCATAACTATTCAGACATGGATATCCATGGCAATCATCTTAATCACAAAATAGGAGACAGCTTAATTAAGAATATTGGTCAAAAACAAAAAGCTAACACATTGTTTAGATTGCTAAAAATACTTTAAAATTAAATTTTTCCCAATATTTTTTTACATAGATGCACGATATACTGCATAATAATTATAAATATATTAAGTGTAATGCAGGAGAATATTGTTATACTACATGCCATATCACATCAGAAATATTATAGCTATGCCTATAAATATCATATTAAGCATATGGTTTGACTTGTGTGAGGTATAAAATGAAGTGTTGATGATATTACACAAATCTACAAAGATTTTACTGACACTTTTTAGAAGTATCAATACGATGCCAGCCATATTGATATAATATATTTTATATAAAGTTATTATCAAAGTTAAATAGTACATAACAATTGCTCTATATTTAGAAAAATTGGTAAGGCAGTTGGAATTAACAATAAAATTAAAAATTCTCTCATCAGCACCTAAGCATAGAAAGAAAACAATGACCACTATGCAAGTATAAGCAAGGCACAAAACCAATAAAAATTAAAGAATTGAAGATGAAGCAAATGATTAATGGAAGTTAATAAAAACTTAACTTATCGGACACAATCTTTTTACATTTTTTAGAATTGTACTTAGATAAAAATAAATCGTAACAATGTTCATTATATATTTGGGTGGCACTTTTAGCTTAAGCAGCTTTATCATGTCAAAATATTCTAAATCGGAAATATTTTTTCTTTAAATTTTGAAATACTATACAATAAATGATTTTTAAACATAACCTGTTTGAAAAATAAATCTCACGCAAAACTGAATTTTTTTCTCCAAACTAAACTCATTTTAGGCTACAAAACCACCCCTAGATATGCACCTACATATTATACACTAATAGTACAAATGTAAATAATAATTTCTATAAGTTGGATATGTCTCAGTGCAATGAAGATTTGATTTGAAGTTCAATTTAAAAATAACTAATAAAAATAGTTCATTAATAGATTTCCATCATAAACTTTGTGGTTGTTTTTTTGGTTTGTTCTTTTCCTGTTGAGCTTTGAACGTAAATATTGAATAAACGATACTGCCGACAACACTGAAATGAATGAAAAAAAATTTTTTAATTCAACAATGATGGTGGTTCTGAAATAAGATATAGGAAATGTACAAAACGAAGCCATTTAATCCCATGAAAGTGTTCAATGCTTAAAAATAATTTCAACTTTTGTTTGTTTGTCTATGATTGTTTCAGTAATTTAGGCAATTCATTTCAGTAATTTAGGATAAGAGAGATTTATTATTTTGTCAGCCAGAAAAAACAAGCATCACAAGTTGCAACAAAAATGAAAATATACTACAACATACGCAAAGTTTTTTGGTATAGACTGTGGGGAGCGATAGGACCATACTGTCACCAGAGTCAGCATCCCCATGTTTGCACAAAAGTCACGCTCTCTTCTTTTGGGTCACCTTGTATTATTGCAAATAAATGCTTTATAGAATAGTAAGGAAACAACTTTAATCGCTGACCTACCTTATGTTAACGCCAATAAAATTGATCCAAGAAAATAAATAATCACCACCAAACATCATTCCAAAATATGTTATTGCGATATTTTTTAAACAACCGACCACAGTTGTAGTTAATGCGGAATTATAAGCTGTGCAAACTGCTATTGAATACATCAAGATGAACCTGAAAAAAGCAATGTCATCTAATTAGTAATAAAAGGTACAATCATATTTAATCATTTTGTTTGTTTGTAAGTTTATGCAATCCAATCGATAAGGAGTTCAATGCCTGAATGAATGCAAAGAATGAGTAAACTAAAGATATTAAATCACTGATCAATTAACTACATTGCAAAGTATTTATATCATTAGGAATTTAAGTTCAAATAATCAATTTGTTGTTTATCAAGTAGAGTTTCTGTTATTGTGAAAATGAGGGGGATTTTGTGGATGAGCAGTATATTCAAAACGAGTTTGTATCACATGTTATGCCTATGCAGTTTATCAAGAATTAATCAATCATGCGATTTATTGATCATAGTTTTCATCTCAGGGACTTATTAGCTATATGAAGAGTTGTTAGCAAAAGTATTTAGTAGCGAATTTTAATTTAGATAACAATGACATATAACAAACAAAAAACTCACCCCATTACGCATGAGAGAAGAAATTGGAAAACGAATGCAAATTCATCCCATCCTTGATAGGAGATTCCTTTCTCTAATTCACCAGTATAATAAAGAATACAGGCAGCTGGAACAAGCATTAATAAACAGTTGTAATATGTTATGCCATACTTCCCAAGATCCTGAAAATTTTAGAAAAAGAATGTCATAACATAGTTTAATTCATGAGCTTAGCTTGAAGTAAAAAAAATACACACATATAGCCTACATATTTATACATAGAAAAGTAAGAGCCAATTAATGAGATAGAAGAACAAAGCGTACCGGTATCAGATTTATACTACAAGAAAGTGGAATAAAGGTTTGAACAGAGAATAAATGATAAATAAAACACATTTTCCTCACAACAATGCTTCAAATATTCAATTTATATTTGAATATATATTAATATATATGACTAAGCAGATCAGGTAAGAGATTCGGAAGAGTATTTATTATAAAAAAAATTCCTATAACAAACTGTGCCCTGCAATTCAATTCAACTACCGGTAGGTAATTTTTTGAGTGATGAAAACTGAAATACCAGAATTTTTTTCCCTGGGTCCAAATCTAAATAAGTTTAGAATATCTTAAAATTGGGAGCAAACAATTTTTCTTTAAATAAACAACTTTCATGCACAACAGAATGCATAATTTCAGATACCTGTGCATTGAGAAGTTTCTTCATAAAAACTGCATTTAATGCTGTGAAAACATCATTAGCAATAATGAACGTATATCCAACCAAATCAAATGCAAGATCATCACTAAAAATAGAAAATCAGTAAGATCAACTTGAATACAAAATTATACAAATATATACGAAAAAATAATCAGATATAAAAAGGTACTTATCATTAAATTTAATATTAATTCTTGTATAAAATTATACCCAAACTGTAATTAAAACAAGTAGGAACACATTCAAAACGTTTTTTTTACTCCGTGCCAGGTACCCTATTATATTTTTTGATGCACATTGTATTCAATTATTGCAACATTATTGCAAATCTAAATGTATTTGCAATGCATATTATAGATAATACATTGTCAAGTTTAACAGTTATCATACACTAATTACTAGAAGTAAAAGTAGGTATGTCAGTCATATTGAAATTGATTTAGAAAAATTACTTTCCTATCACGGTATGGAAATTCATGATATCAATCACCAAAACAAAATATGAATATGACATTATTATTATTGTTTGTAGAAACAAACTAAATATACTATAAAACTATAACAACATCCTGATTCACCTTGCAGCAATAATTGATCCTCCAATCATCATCAAGACTGTTGAGGTGACAGTTCGACTTGCTTTCTTCCTAATATTATAGGAATTAAAGGGTCAATAACAAATACATTCAGATTCTTGATATAATTACTAAAATATTTCATATTGCCAAATTTAATAGTGAGAGACTATATGGGAAAGTTGTACATTGACTTTTTAATACTACGAATCACAATACAATGTAGTAATGCCAAATTTTGAATGAGGCACAAAAACTAAAACAAAAGCAGAGTGAAAAATATTTCTACATGAGATATACCTGAGTACAAAGAACTCTAATATCAATGTAAACAAAATAGAAAATCTTCTTAGTACAGTAAACATTGGAAGACTTAGTTTCTTCGTTCCTCCCAATCCAGCAATCAAGTTGGCGAGATATATGAGAGGTAGAGGAAAAATCTGGAAATAAAAACAGATTCGGATAATAAATATAGTGGAGAGCATGGGTGACATCTAGGTGAGCAAGCATAAGGTGAGCGAGCATAACTATTCCACTCCTATATATTTGGAATCTTATTGCAATGACTTGACTAAGAATGGGCAATTCAAAAATCAAAATACAGAATCTGGAGGATCCGTTAATGCAATTCAGTTTAAGCATCCTTGCACCATGCGACGATTTTTGTAATTTGAATATCTAATTTATTAATCATAGAATAGCATTTTCTCTTGCGTTGAAATCTCTCTTGTTAGGTAGTACTCGAGTCCACTTGCAAAACACACATAGAAGCAGTCGGCCCCAAACACAGTATTGTTAGTCTGCATATTCAGGACAAGAAGACAGTGATAAATATGTCACTGCAAAAACTCGGTATTGCATCATTTTTACGTTTTTCAGCATCATGATATAGTTGGCAAATGAAAATAATTATTGGTGACACTGGCATTTTCTAATTGAAACAAGCCTCAATTTTTGACAAACACATCATATTTCTCATACATTACATGATTTTGCGCATCCCATGAGTTAACCCAATAAATGTATGTGACCCAAAAACCAGATGTTGATGTTAAAACTTGATTTAATATTTTTTTGTGAACTATTTGAATTCATTTAGGCCTTTTACAAAAATATCAAATTATATTGCAAAACAATGCATTTTGCCATATTTATTTCGCCATACCAACAGATTACATATTTTTCCAATTATAGTCTACAATAAGTTCGTTCATAATGTCCAAAACCGGCACATGTTAGGTCAAATATTTTGGCCACCGATAGTTTTAAAAAAGTTGCCATTGCCATTCAATCATGTCATCAAGTTTCCTTGTGGGTAAGATCCAAAGTAAGTAGAGGGCAAAGCGAAATAATTTGCAGTTCAAACCCAATATTATAGTACTTGAAAATGTACATGTACAAGAAAATGATATTTTTAAAAAATGGCAGACTTTTGTCACTCCGTGACGTCACGGAGTGACGAGATCTTTCAAAGTGCCGCGAAAGAACAACAAGCAACCATCAACTGCCAAATAGGTAAATTATTGGGCCCAACCCCAAAATGACGTCTCAATTTTTGAGGCAAATAGTTATTGATATATATTAGATAATTGAAATAAAGTTGAAAAATTGTCCGTGATGTGTAACTCCGTAATAACACAAGGTAAGTGTTGTCAATAGTGCACAGTGCAATATTTATATTAAGCACAGATATCAGAAGTAAAACTTTACACATACTTGGTTGACCAAATACATTTTAAGATAACATAAATAGCATGAGAGTTCATGTTACAAAACTGGAGAAAATTAGGCAGAGCACCATCAAATATTCCGCTGAAGAAATGACAATTACTTTGAGCTGTATCTGTACCTTTTCATGCCATTTTGAAAACTTCAAGATCTGTCCTACACTTATTGCAGTTTAATATTTCAATTAGGCAAGATATAATTTTCAACTAATTTATGGAATTGCTGTTTACCTTCTTTGGTAATTGGGCATCGCAGTCTGGAAAGGAAACAAGTCCTACTGTTTTTCCAGACCGTAAAATTAGAACTGCTGCAATCATTTGACCAACACCAAGAAATTGGACAGAAGGGAATCTGAAATAAGAGTCAAGCTTTAAATATGGATAAGTGGATAAGCCATCTTGGTGCACATACTTCTGGAGGTCCCTTTTTACCTAACCCTAGAGCCAACCATATCCATATGGAAAATGTTCTAAATTATGGTACCCAAAATGTATCACCAGCAGGGGCAGACCTGCCATTACAGCATTACTGGCTACATACGTTGGTTTGTGTTTTTAATTTGCTGCCGTGGTACTCCAACTCAACAAGGTGCCCCGAACTCATTGCAAAATTTTTTTCTGCTTCACACTGTTTCCCTCTGTTTTGCGCTCTTTCGCGCTGTTTCCAAACTGTTTTGCGCTGTTTCCCTCGGTTTTGCGCTGTTTTGCGCTCTTTGCGGTATTTCGCACTGTATTCAGTAAGTAGTAAGACCGTGGCCCTACATGTTGGAAACTGTAGGTCTGATACTAGGCAGATTAGTAATTTGTTGAATTTGTGTAGACAGCAGCAAAGACGTCAGTTTATAATCATATGTCAGCATGTCCAATGAGTTGCATTCTAAATACTGGCTAAACAGGGTTAATATGAATTAATTTTAGAATCAGATAAATTTTGTGGTTTCATTGAGGCGTAAATGACTTTGAGCAAAAAGCACAATGTCTGAATGTGTTGAGTGTAAATGCTACGTTGCGAGTGAGCAATAATACAGTAATAGTAAATTGCATTCGACAGCATGCTGGCATGGAGATACATTGTTTTCTTACATTTCATGTATATCAACATCTTCTGATCTTACAGTCTTATTGTGGGTCACAGAAAAAATGGCATTAAAAGTGGGTGTGAAATGAAAAAGGTTAGGAAGCACTGCACTACAGGTACATGAAATACGAATTGTTGCAAAAAATAGGCAATAGGCTCAATAAGTTGAAATATTAATGTATTAAATATGTTATTGCTGTATTGATTGTATCTGGTTTCAGAATTTAGAAATTGATGTTTTCAACCTACTTATAATATGTCAGAACACTTTTATTAACAAGCATTATAACAGTTGATGAAATCCCATAAAATGCAGCAGCTAATATTCTCGTAAGTGTTGTCGCCTGTAGGCTGTCATCCATACTTGCCGCAGTTTAAAATTAATCTACAAGAGAACAAACTGCAGAATTGTAAAACAATTGAATTATCAGTCTGCAGGTCTGTTCAGCAGTTTGTTAGTGGTACCTAACAAATAAATAAGTAATAAATAAGATTAGGCGATTGAATATGATAACAGATTTAGATATATAGACTAACTGTATAAGGACTCTCAATAGAAACTGCCAGAAGCAAAATATGACGTAATTTAGTCAAGATATAAACGATTGAAAATTTCATCCGAAGTTACCGTACCTGCGTTTACGCCGTAAAAGCAGGTAACTTCGGATGATTTCACTACCGGTATATTATGAACAATTTCTCCGCCGTTTATTGTTGAATTGAAGCCAAACTTGGAATATAATACAATGAAGCCTTTCTCTTCACGATAAACTCGGTTTCATATCGGTCAATACCTTTTTTCATTGAAATTATTGACTTTATTTGTCTGCAGATCTGTATTCCAAATGTTTCTAACTTCGGATGGCCACTTTTCGCATTGCGTCACTTCGTCGTGAGAGAGAAATGTCTGCGTGATCAGTGACGCGTGATAACGTCGCTGCGTAGAACTTACGATGCCGTGATCCGTTTTGCGTGTCGCACACTGACGTTCGTCTATGACGGCCGTTTTTGGACACGTAGTGGACATAACGATCGTTTCAATATTATGTTGTTGTTGTTGTTCTTGTTCTTTGACACGTTTTTAAAAAGTCGCTTTTCTCTTCGAATACTGGACCAATTGCTTTGAAATTTTCAGTGGTTAAAGATTAATTTTTTCGCTAGAAGGCTATTACTTTTATTTATTTCAAAATTTTGCGTGAATTCTATGAAATTTGATATTTCGTCTAAAATTTTGCTGTATTATTTTTTATCCATGGGAACACGGATTTTAGTCAATGTCATGACTGGCTGTACGTTTTGATTCTGCAAAATTCTTGCTACTGGAAATTCAGAACTTCTTTGAGGGTACCGGTAGCGTCAAATGTACCGGTAAGGTCGGTCTGATTCGCTCTGGTCTGACGTGTCCATATATTTGTGCGTAGCTCTCTTGTATTTTTTTCCGATTGTTAATTCTTTCGGGTCGGCGGACATTGAAGTTTTATATATCTGGTTAATGACATTAGCAGCATGCTTAATGTCATTGATCTGGTATACCCGTGCGTTTACATCGGCAACAGCTCTTGAAGACAAGAAGGACTGATTTCATAAACCAAATTAATTTTATTCTGATTTTTATCTTATGTGTTGGCTTTGATCTTATCACTGTTTGTATATTATTGGACACGTTTAGTGGCCATAACGATCGTTTCAATATTATGTTGTTGTTGTTCTTGTTCTTTGACACGTTTTTAAAAAAATCGCTTTTCTCTTCGAATACTGAACCAATTGCTTTGAAATTTTCAGTGGTTAAAGATTAATTTCTTCGCTAGAAGGCTATTACTTTTATTTATTTCAAAATTTTGCGTGAATTCTATGAAATTTGATATTTCGTCTAAAATTTTGCTGTATTATTTTTTATCCATGGGAACACGGATTTTAGTCAGTGTCATGACTGGCTGTACGTTTTGATTCTGCAAAATTCTTGCTACTGGAAATTCAGAACTTTTTTGAGGGTACCGGTAGCGTCAAACGTACCGGTAAAGACTGATTCGCTCTGGTCTAACGTGTCCATATATTTGTGCGTAGCTCTCTTGTTCTTGTTCTTTGACACGTTTTTAAAAAATCGCTTTTCTCTTCGAATACTGGACCAATTGCTTTGAAATTTTCAGTGGTTAAAGATTAATTTCTTCGCTAGAAGACTATTACTTTTATTTATTTCAAAATTTTGCGTGAATTCTATGAAATTTGATATTTCGTCTAAAATTTTGCTGTATTATTTTTTATCCATGGGAATACGGATTTTAGTCAGTGTCATGACTGGCTGTACGTTTTGATTCTGCAAAATTCTTGCTACTGGAAATTCGGAACTTTTTCGAGGGTACCGGTAGCGTCAAAGGTACCGGTAAAGACTGATTCGCTCTGGTCTAACGTGTCCATATATTTGTGCGTAGCTCTCTTGTTTACTTCTGTAACAACGACTAATCAGCTATAAGTAAACAGTGACGTAACCATTTAAATTGGAGCGGCCGCTCAGATGTTCGCTCCGACAGGTAAAACATTTGGTTTTAAACATTGCCTCGTTTTTGTGGTTTTGCGTGTTATTCGCCAGTTTTCGGTTGCATTTCCAACAAGTAAAAACAATCATACAATATTAAAAAAAAAGGAGGAAAAGATGCAACAGCTAGTTCTCATCGCTGCATACATTGATTAAATATATATGACCCACAGTCTCATTTTTCATAATAAAAATTAGACCCATTCATCATAAAAGGTTTGCCATCCCTGGTATGAAGTATGTCGCTCTAAGTTGCAGGGAATAAACTACAACCAGAGTTACGCGCGTTAGGACGTTTTCGCAGGTCGTATGTATATTAGAATATGTGCCGATTTGCTCGGGGCTATACAAATTTGCGAAACTGACCGCGCCATCTGTTCATGCAGCGAGACGACGCAAAAAAACACAGCTGGTTGATACCAAAGTGACTATAATCAGTAGTCACTTTGGTTGATACGTCGGGGTGCTTAACCAAAGAATACTGAAACCAGGAACTACGGGTACATGGCCGAGCGGATTATATAAACAACACTCATACTCTCACTCAAATTACAAAAAGAAGACTTTCAAGAGTAAATAATTCAATTAGCGTGTAGTGGTGTCAGCATATAATTACTGAAAGAAGGTGTTTTGCTCACAGTCGCAGGTATCACAAGGATAACTATAAAATACAAGTATTATGACCAGTTTATTAATGCAGTAATGAGACATATTGCGCGGCAGCACTGAGCCACTGATCCAATGAGATGCTATACCGTACTGTATTTCGACGTACCTTTTAGCGTTGAAATTGCATTTTTTACTGGTATGAGGAAATAAACAAAGATGCGTATTTTACCATTTAATACTATAGTTATCTGTTTATACCAGGGGCGGGCAAGGTTTTTAACCAGGGGCCGAAAAAGTTGCCCACCTGGTCTGGCGGGCCATGTAAGTGTGATGTAAAAAGCTGTATTTTATGAACAATAATTGCAGTTTTACAACGCAAAGGTGGAAAACAATATGCCTAGTGCGAAAACTAAATTTAACCGCTAATCTAAGCAAATTCCTTGAGCTATTTTAGATAAAACATCAAAATCTTGTTTCAGTTTGGTTGAGGTAGCATCAGGCGGGCCATATTGAATTACCCAACGGGTCGGATTTGGCCCGCGGGCAGTAATTTGCCCATGTCTGGTATCTACCAACGCTCCATTCTATTATGGGTTAGGTTAGTATGCTTGCACGTGCAGTCCTTCAACTTTTTTCGGCTCGGCTTCTTTC